TCGAGATGCTCCTGCCTGGCAGCGCATGACGACCTCATTGGGCCGCACGACAGGTTACGCGTCAGCGCTGGCAGGTGCGTTGCTCCTAGACAGGTTTTGTGTGGTGGGAATTCGAATCGCGGCAAGTTTCGCCGTGATTCCATGCACGATCCCATGCGCACGTCACATCATTGTATTCGCCTTATTGATAGCTTCAATTTGGTTCATTTGAATTCGAAAATAATTTTTGTCGTTATAAAAGCGCCGGCGCTTATGGCCGTTCCTCAATTACTAGCGCCACCCCTAAAAAAAACGATTTTATTATAAGCGCATATGCGCTACTATCCGGGGCCATACGGTACCGTACTACTACCTAGCTTGTAGCTATATATATCCTATCATATCTACTCTAGTCTACTCATCAAATCCATCATCATCACCATCGGATGCATCATCATCATCCTGCTCTATGTCTTCTACTTCCATCACCTCCTCTGTCTCCTTGGACCTGTTCTGTTGCTTTCCTGCAGGCGGGAGAGGAGCGTTGCTGTGGGGCTTGCGCTTCTTGTAGGCCCTCCAGATTGTCACAGTTGGGCTCGTAGTCCATGAGGCTCATGCACATGAGGTCGCCCAGTCGTGCATCCTTCAGCGAGCCTCTCTTCCACGACTTGATAATGTTCTGCCTCGAAAACCCACGCTCGCACTCCACGGTGCTCAGCGGCAGGACAGCTACTGCCACCCATAGATGAACAAGGTTGTGATACTTGTCCCGCCAGTCCGGCGTCTTGAGCATGGCTGTGAGTCCCGTGTGGAAGCTGCGCTCGCCCTTGGTAGAGGCTGCAAGCACCGAGGTAAACATGTGAAGCTCCTTCTCTGCACGGTGCTTGTTGACTCCTGGCGGGATTGGGTAAACAGATTGGAATGAGTAAACAAACACAAACAACGATAAAACATACGGTATTTGAATGATTAATTAAACACATAGATAGAAGCATCGCACAGTACACAAGCAGAGCAACGAAGCAGGATGATAAGGCTTACCTGGCACGATCTCCTTTGTCAGGTCGGCCTTGAACAAGGTGATTAGCGACTATAGCCACTGAAGGCACCGCCGTTTCCTCTCAGCTCGATCCAACGGGTACTCGTCTGGCAGGAACAGCTTCACCCCGGACATCCCATCCAGGTTGCCTAGCCGATGCTCGAGCTGGTGAACAATCACCTCCGCGAACTCCGTGCTTAATTGGAAAGGGGAATATTACATTTTAGCAAACAGTGTATGGTTTACAACTTATAGTTACATTGCGTCCACCGCGTATGTACATCACTGTTCCTATTAGCCTCGCACCCAGACAAACACCTACACAACAGACAGGTATATCAGCAAATATGTTTGTACCATGCACGAAGGCTTTAAAGTAAACGGAACCGAAGTGCATGTCGTACCACTCGTGCTTCTATAAAAACCCCCTTACAGCGTACTGCAAAGTGTAACTAGGTGTGACTGAATGAGGTACGGACTCGACGCTGCAACGCCGTATAGCACCCCTACGGTTCACCGTTACTGTTACCATCCTGTTTCGAAGATATATTAATTCGTGTCGAAATTGTCAGAATCCCAACCACTAGACCATTGGGATAAAAGGGCTTGTTTCCGTAGCGGGTCAGTGCGCCCATAACCCCCCAGGCGAACGCGCCTGTAACCCTCTCCAGGATCGATCGGGCATCCACAGTGCAGATCTACTGACACCCCCCTACACTGGGAGGCCCAGGACTAAGCACAGCGGCACCGGCCTACATGTGCATACACCGGGATTCGAACCCGAGACCGCTCTGATACCATGTCAGAATCCCAACCACTAGACCATTGGGATAAAAGGGCTTGTTTCAGTAGCGGGTCAGTGCGCCCATAACCCCCCAGGCAAACGCGCCTGTAACCCCCCCTAGGATCGATCGGGGATCTCACAGTGTAGCTCTACTGACAGAAATATGTTATTCATGTTTATATATTTGTATGTAGTGTTAGTGTAGTTATGTTTCCCGTTTGGTGGTGCACCTTATTACCCTAGTTCTTGCCTATATCTTTGTACCTTTGCTCTTAATTGAACCCCTCTTCGCTCTCGCTACTCTCGACACCCTCACCTAGTTTCCTAGGTTCTAAGCTAATCTTGACATGGTATTAAGAGCTAGGTCGTCCTAAGACCTAATTTCATTTTCCCCATGGGCCCACCACGTATCCCCCCCCTCACGGCGCTCGTCACGCCCCCCGTTGCGACCGTTGTTACGACGGTTACAACGGTCGCGACCGTCGAAACGATCTCGGCGGCGAGCTGCGCGAGAGCGTTTGCGGCCTCGATTGCAACCGCTGCGGATTCGTCGCACCCTCGTCCGGCCCCCCTAAAATTTTCCCCCCCGTCGCGGCCCTGCACGTTGGCAGCGTCGGTCACTGTGAGGGGGAAGAAGGGGGGAAGGGTCTGGCGGCCAGGCTGCAGTAACCGCCAGCGCCCTGCCCCCGCTCGACCGTCCCTCCCTATTCTCCGCCGCATCTGCGGGCTCGTCGCACGCCCTGCCGCGGAAACTACTGTTGGGGGAGATGGCGGGGGTGGATGGTGGGCGGGATCTGCAGCAGTGCCCGCGCCGCTCCTGCTCTTTGCTGCTGGGCCGTGCGTCCTGCTGTGGGGGGGAGGGTGAAGGCGTGGCGGGAGGGACTCTGCAGCGCTAGCCGCTGCCCACCTCCTCTGCTCTCTCCCTGCAGCGCCAATCGCTGTGGGGGGGAAGGGTGAGGGGGTGGTGGGAGCGTGGCTTCAGCACCAGCCGCAGCCGCCTCCTCATTCCTCCTCTCTCCCTTCTGTTCTATGTTTTTTGCGTTCTCTCGGCTCCTCCTCCTGCAGCCAGGCATCTGCTGCTGCCGCCCGCTGCTACTGTGGCACCTCCAGCTGTCGCCCCTGTCGCCACCTGCCCTGTTTTTTTGTTTTCTGCTGCTGGGGCCTGCAGGTGCTGCCGTCGAGCCGCTGCTGTCCTGCTGCACGTTGCAGCCACAGAGCCTGCTCCTCAGGCGACCTGCCGCCCCTACATTTGCTACTTTTTCTGCTTTGTGTTTCTGCTTTGGCTCAGGGTTGCTACAGCTGAATCTGCTACCACTGCACTGGTTGTCACTGCTCCTGCCTACTGCTGCTACTTCCGCTGCACTCTGCATGGTGTACCCTCTTTAGGGGGCGTTACTACACTCACACCTGCAAACAATTATGTGGGTGTGTCGAAATATGTTATTCATATTTATATAATTGTCTGTAGTGTTAGTGTAGTTATGTTTCCCGTTTGGTGGTGCACCTCATTACCCTATATCTTCGTACCTTTGCTCTTTATTGAACCCCTCTTCCCTCTCGCTACTCTCGACACCCTCACCTAGTTTCCTAGGTTCTAAGCTAATCTTGACAATTCGCGCATGGTTTCGCTAAATGCATAGTTTGCCTCGGTCGTGTAATCCTCGCTCGGTCACTAAGGGCGCGGTGCATTTGGCGCAAATCCCGAAGTTTGCTTTTTGATTTGATTTAATATTTTTTTAAGCTCGATTGATTGGTCGAAAAGTTGATTTCACGAGGTTCGAGCCACGGGGCCGATTTCTGGTAGGTCAGAATGTGACCAGCGAGGATCGAAAAATGAGAATCGACACTCGTCGAGCCGCAATAATCAATTTAAGTTACCCGATTAACCTACGTGGCTCTAACGTCTTTGTCCGTGTATCAACTGTAGATGTCGTCAAGTTTCGTCGTGTTCGTGAAGCTGCTAAAATGACCACGTTCGTAAGCACGGCTCGAATGCCCGTTGAACACGCGGTCGACTGACTGTCTGGTTACTTGACTTACGAGTCAGTATTCGAACATTAACCTGGTTTCTTGCGAAGACTATCACGACATTCAAGAACTCAGTAACCAGCTCAAGCTCGACCTGTTTTCTGAACTTCGATTCAAAAGCACCGCGTCCTGAAACGCACCCTTAACAAACTGTCACAACGGATGAAATCCAGTTCACGGTGCATACATGCTGCATGAAGGACGTATACAGCGACGAGTTCGTAGTCCATCTTTTTGGATGCCAGGGTTTAATGACATCACGCTAGGTTGGAGAAAGCAAAAGCGACGGCGTCCTGACCACCATCGTCTTACCATCGTCTCAGTATTTTTGTTAGCCCTAAACGAAGGAGCCGCAGAGAGCCATGGAAGGGGAGCCGCCCAGGAAGAAGTACTCGCCTAAGCGGAAGGTTGACGGCGACGTTTTCCTGTTCTCCAACTTCGATCGGCGCCTTCGGAAGTTCGAAGGAGGGGTAGACACCCCCGCCGATTTGATGAACGTGACTTCCAGGTGTGCCATCGCGTATGACGTCGCTAGCACGTCCTAACTGCTATCATCGCACACGCGACTAACTGTCCGTCACACCGTGGCGCCCTCGCGTGTGCAGAACAATCAAGCGCGGCGACTTAACGCTTTCCATCCTTGATCCGAGATATTTTTTGAAGGGTGTCAATATAGACGCCATCGCCCTCCCCGACGAGTTTGCAAGGAGCGACGCGATCGCTGTCCCGATACGGACCGCGTGAGTTGCCTGCGTGCAGAGTGTCCGTGTATTCGATGCTTGCATCAGCCTCAACCCTAACACTAACCACGTGGGGATGGCAGGCCCGACGTGTCACCCTTCGTACACTGCAGCTTCGTCGCCATAGTGTTCCCGGGCGACATTCTAACGTACGACAGGCGGGATGATATCCGGACGAGACTGGTCCTCGTCAATCCCCCGTCAGGTCCCCGGTTGCACGCCACTCTTGTCCGGTCGGTGACGGGGTAAGTATCGCGTCGCGTGATTCCTCGCCGAACCACATGCGTGGCCGTCTAACCTCGTGTATTTGGTTTCATCCCCGCCCGCCGACAGATGGTTCCGCAAGTACCTATGCAAACTCAGAGAGCGCGGTAACGGTGGCCCGTCGCATGAAGAGATTGTCGATCGCATCAGGCAAATTCCAACTTCAATGTTCCCGGTAAGCTTCGTGTTAGCGACCCCATTTCGCGCAGAAGCTCATTTGCTTAACCCATCTGCGTTCCATGTGTTGTGGGTCTGTCCAGAAGTTGCCGCCGACTTACGAAGACTGGGAATGGACAGGAGGAAGATGCGTCCGCGTGCTCCACGAGGTACTGGCGCGCATGAATCGGGATGACGATGTCAGTGAGCCATTCTTGAAGCTCGAAAGGACGGACAAAGATGGAACCCAACACGTTAGGAAGATCGCAAACACCATCGACGCATGCGACGGCTGTGAGGACGAGGGGCCGTCAGTGAGCCCTGGTATTTGCGTGAAGAAGGAGCCCGCAGACTGGCGGTGTACGGGAGGACGTGCGGTGGGAGCGGCAGTCGGCGGCTCAGGGGGCCAGGCGGCTGCGCCGGCAATTGACAACGGCGTAGATGTGCGCGCAACACGCGGCGGAGCTTCCGGTGCGGCCGGTGGGCGCAACGCCGACCACGTCGCGGGAGTGGCGGCCAATGCGGCACGTCGCCAAAAGGGGTCGGGACGAGCGAAACCGGAACATGCGGTCGCCTCGTCTGCCCCGCAGGACACCGTCGAGCAGACGAGGGGAGGGGATGCAGGCCGTATCAACACCCAGAAGCTCCTCGCCAACACGGAACAGGGCCTTCTGACGGTCTTGCAGAATCACGGGAAGAGAATCCGGAATTTGGAGGTCACGAATCAGGCGATGAAGTCGATGGTGATAGCATGCATAGAGAGTGTAGCGAAGACGCTTTCCGGGTTGGGAGAGGACCTCAAATCGCAGCACCCCCGCCCCCCCCCGTATCCTACAGCTCCTCATCCAGGGTCCCAGGGCAACGAAAATGTTGGGTTGTGCAGGCAGGCCGGCAAAGACGTGCGCAACGAGGTAGACCCCGGGGGTGGCCAACACGCGAACGACCGGAAGCTGGCGCGGACGAGAGCCCTGACGACCAACAGCCCGTGCACGCCGCAAGGTGACTCGGCCGCAACGCGCACGCACCGTCGCAAAGCACCCGTTAACAAAAACGTCCCGGCCACGCGCACCGATCCCGACTCCACGCTGCCCCCGTTCACCGCGCCCCAACGGAAAAGAGCACGATCCCGGGAGGGAAAACCTGCTGGCTTGGTGTCCGCACCAACGCCCCCCAAGTGCCCGCCGGCAGACGGGGAGTTGCCGCAAGCGTCCGCGTCTCTGAAACGAGGGAGGTTCGATCGGGAGTGCATGCCTCCGCTCGCACTAGCACAGCAGCTGATACTGGAACGGAGCACGTGCGGCGGCGCACAGCAAGACGTGTGCGGGACCGAAGGCCCTGGCGCGGAAGCGGGGGCCGGGGCAGGCGGCAGGGCAGGAGGCGACACAGAGAAGAAGGGTGTGTCGGACGAAGGAACTCCGCGGGCCGTCGAGAAGGGCGGGCTGTGCACGGTGGGCGAGGAACACGCGCGCAACGAGGTGGAAACGCAGGCGGGCGGCGCACAGCAGGACGTGTGCGAGACCGAAGGCCCTGGCGCGGAAGCGGGGGCCGGGGCAGGCGGCAGGGCAGGAGGCGACACAGAGAAGAAGGGTGTGTCGGACGAAGGAACTCCGCGGGCCGTCGAGAAGGGCGGGCTGTGCACGGTGGGCGAGGAACACGCGCGCAACAAGGTGGAAACGCAGGCGGGTGGCCGCCGCGCTGACGATGCTGGTATGGCATCGGCGGGTGGAGCAGAGGAACGTGCTGTGTGTGCGGGCGAGGAAGCAAAGGAGGTGAAGAGCACGGATGCGAAGGGCATCTTACCAGTGGGCAAGGAAGAGTGGACTGCCAAGTATTGGTTCATGGGCTAGCACAGGAAACGCGAGAGCGCTCTGTACGTCCAGTTGATGGCGCGAACGGTGTTTGGCGAGCAGGTCGACATTGGGGGCCTGGGGATCACCTCGAGCAAGGCCTCGTGGGAAGCAGACCGGAATAAGGCGCGCCTCATCTCTCCCGGCCTCTGGGCGGTCATGTACGGACACGGGCTGGCGAGCATCATGGCCGGGTGAGTTCCGGGTGGTGCACACCGTCGTGTACTACGTTGCACTCATTTCCATGATGCATTGGCTAAACGCACGGCTGACGGGACGTGGCGGACCGTGTTCTGTCTCTTGCAGGTACCGCGCGGTTCTGGAGGGTTTCACTGCCGACGAGGGCGACGAGGAGAGCGCGCAGTTGGCCATCTGCGCGGCCATTGGGACTGCCGCCGCCAACTTCGAGAAGCGGAGTGGCGCAACCGCCAAGGTTTTCGCTCCAGCACTGGCTGCATCCTGCGCGGCGGTGTGGAGCATATGGCGTGGAGTCCGCACCAACTGCGCCGTGGACCGCGCCGTAGCAGCGGCCAAAGCCGTTGGTGCAGAGCAGTCGCAGTTGGCGCACTGCAAGGACGTGATCACCGCGGTCCTCAACACTTTGGGTAACAGATCTCACGAGCGCAGAGAAGAGGCGAAGTCCGACCCGGACGGGCACGTTGCGTGGGTAATCGAGCAAGCGTTGGGCGGCCCAGGCCTGGCGACGAGCGACGACGCCAAGGTGGTGGCGAAAGAAAGAGATGACCGACACGCTCGGCATGTGGTCGGCTTGCACCGTCGCTGCAGGTCCTTTGGTGGAGACCGGCTTCGATATGCCCCGAACTGCCGAGATGAAACGCAAGTGCGAGATCCGGGCAGAGTACTGGCTCGGAGGACTCCGCCGGACAGTGCAGCACGGATCTCCCCTGAGTGCTCAACCCATGCGCCCCAGAACCCAGCAGGGATCTCGCCTGAGTGCTCAGCCAATGCGCCCCAGAACCCAGCAGGGATCTCCCGAGTGCTCAACACATGTGCTTCAGAACCCGACAGTTAAGCACGAATCTCCCCTTAGTGCTCAACCCATGCGCCCCAGAACCCAGAAGGGATTTCCCCTGAGTGCTCAGCCAATGCGCCCCAGAACCCAGCAGGGATCTCCCCTGAGTGCTCAACACATGCGCTTCAGAACCCGACAGTTCAGCACGAATCTCCCCTGAGTGCTCAACCCATGCGCCCCAGAATCAACGGCTCGTGTGTACTCTGGTACAGGAGCCTCTCCCGGAATACATGCTCGACAGTGTACTGTACAGCCCCCGAGCCATGTTTCTAGGTTAACATCATTCCGGCAGCCCCCGCCCTCCCTAGTGGGAAGTGTCTGCTGAAACATGGACAACAGCTGACGGGTTCTCCTTGGTAGAGCATTGGGGTCGTTTGTGACAGGCATGATTTCTCATATAATGAGACGTCCTTTGACACCAGTGGCCTAACAAGTCTTCAGAGACTTGCTAGCAGCAGCCCTTGCGGTACAGGGTTTAGGGTATATCGAAAGCGGATTATAGTTGATTTTACATGCGCTCAATCAATCTCGCATTTCAATTTCATTTCAATCATATTACTATCTATCATTCATGATACCTGCTATCTATCCTGGGTACTAGCTATCGATTTTCTTGTTGTAGTAGAGGCCACACCACACTGATGTCCACGGGTGCGGGGGCAGGGGATGGGAGAGTTGTACAAGCAGATGGGAAAAAGGAGAGACCTGGGTGGAGAAGGCGTTTTCTCGCACATGTACGATGCCAAAACATGCGTTACAAGCAGCTGCGCTTGCGAGATATGTACCGTAGTATCGAAAATAACCACCTCGTGTGTAAAAAGGTGATACGGTAATGTTTATTGAAAATGCATGCGCTGCCACGGCGGTTAGATGTGGTAAGTATAAGAGATGGACTAAGAGTTGAACGAGAGTCGCAATGCGAACGTTTTGGTTCACAAACTGCTTTGCTCCGACCCAAGTCCCAGATCCCATTACCCTCCGTCGCTACTGATGCACCTCTGCCTCCACCCCCACCAAAGTGCAAACTACACAGAAGGCGACAACAGGCGATACTCAACAGAAAGCATCTTGGTTGAAGCACATCTGCATCTGCGTGAGAACAGAAAATAGCACCCCCCACCCTCTCCACCCTCTCTCTCCCCCCACCCAACCCCCCCCACTCCGCTCCCCCCCCCCCTCCTTCCACCCTCCCCCGCCCCCGTCGGCCTTGCAGACGCCGTCGCCGGCGTCCGTCCTAGAATTCGGCCGCCTCACATTTCCGTGACCACGCCAGTTCCCTCAGATGCTGCGGGGACAACTTTGGTGCCTTTCCTCGCCCGCGACCCCCCTCTGACGCGCGGTCTCCTGCGCCCTGCGGGTTTCGTCAGGTACAGCGAGCGTTCGCGCTGGAGTTCGTCGAATTTGTCCGATTGAAACCAGAAACATTTAGTGTCCAGGGTTTCCTTCACGACCAGCTCGACGACGTCCTTGCCATGGTCTTCTTGGAGTTTGCTACACGAGGCAAGAGCCTCGCCGTTCAGCTGGCGAACGATGAGCGATGCCTCCTCACTCGCGACCAAGGCGTTGGCATCTTCACGCTGCTTGTTGAAATTAACAACAGCTTGCACCGCAGTATAGGCCACGGCACTGAACACATCAGCCGTAGCAGTGTCCGCACCCAACATCGTTGCCGCAAATTTGGCCTCGTCGGTTGCATTCAATATTTTCTCATCCAGAGACGCGCTGACCGCCGCAAAGCCGCACGCTATTGCCACATCGTATGACGGCACGACCCGTTTTGCAGCAGTCGCTGCCCGTGCCCCCACCATTGCGCCAAGCAACGCGTGGATGGACGCCGAGTCGTGCCGGGAGCGGTGTTCTCGGAACCACTCGAACATTTTCCACCACCTGCACGCACAGGGATGGGATTGACACGCGGGATGTTTGTCGCATATGGCCTTGAAGCGAGTATAACAAGTGGACTGGCCACCTGATACCCACCGAGACTCCCCATCAACCCGCAGCTCACCAATCAGCGGACGAGGCGAGACCGCGTTCGACCATGGCACTCCACATGCCTGGAGGGATTAGCCTGGCGATATCCAGTTCCGCTTGCCAGTCCGCCACCTCTCCAGCTCCGATCTCCACCCGCTTAACTGTCTTGTAGAAGGCCATGTGCGCCACGGCGGTGATGTACCTCGCTTCGTCCGCGTGCCGAACCCGAGCGAACCAGAACCGCCTCTTGCCCAGCCACGGTTCCGCTATAAAGTAGCCGTTCCTCTTCTTGCATGGCCGCACCCCACCGCTCTTAGAACGCACTTTCTCCTGCTGTGCTGTTCTCCCCTCGGAGGCCTCTAGCTTTCGCTTTTGTCCACGTGGGGTTCCGGAGGGCGACGTCCCCCCCGGAGCAGCATCGTTAGTGCGGGCACGACATACTCTGGGCCACCTGCTCGCCTCCTCACCCTCGACCCTTGGAGTCGCTGTGCCCCTAGGCTTCGCTTTTCGCCCCCCCCCTCGTGCACAGCTGGCACGTTTTCCCTTCGCAACGGCTGTACGACACGACCTCAAAGTCCTCCCTTCCAGTGGCACCTCATCGACCGGGGCAGCCTTCCCGCCCCCCCCCCCCCCCCCTGCCAGCGGTGGCCCAGCACGGTCGCCTCGCAGCCCTCCATGACAGCCGGCGAGTCCGCATGCAGCTGGGCCGCCGAGACCTCCACCACATCATCCTCCTCGCCCTCCTTCTCCTTCACTCCCTCATTCACCTCATCCTCCGCCCCATTCACCTCCTCCTTCACCCCACCCCGCCGGCCGTGGCCCCGCACGGCCGCCTTGAGGCCCTCCATGACAGCCGGCGAGTCCGTCTGCAGCTGGGCCGCCACCTCCACCACGTCCTCCGATTCCTCACCTGCCTTCCCGGCCTTGCACTCCTTCTTCCTCGCCCCCTTCTCCTCCACTCCCTCCCTCACCTCACCCCCCTCCCCCTTCACTTCCTCCTTCACCTCCTCCTCCCCCTCCTCATCGGTCCTCTTCCTCTTCCTTTGCACCCCGACCCCCCGGCTCTGCGGCACGTGCAAACCCTTCCGACCCTGCGCACGCCGCGTCGTATTCCCCTTCGTCCCCACCTTCGGCGCTACCTTCTCCCCCGCCCCCTCGATCGGCTGCGCTACCCCCCCTCCCCCCCGCCTCGCCCTCACCCGCGGCTTCTCCCGTACCTCCGCCTTCTCCGTCTGTTGCGACGCCTCCCTCCCCATTGGCCCGTTCGTCGGCTCCTCCACCGGCTCGCTCTCGCGATTCGTGCTCCTCCCTTTCTGTGGAGGCGCAGGGCGTGATGCACGGCGCCTCTTTCCGTCGTATCCTCTCCCGTTCAAGCGATGGATCGCCGCATTTCCTTCTCGGAGCGTCGGGGCGGAGTTTGGAATCATAGAATGAACCCACTCCTCGTCTTCAGGCGACAATTTAGCGTCCCCCACCCGCTGGCGGTCCAGCCGCTGCAAGCACGCCTTGTGGTACTCGATGAGAATGAGGCGATCTCGCTCTCTACCTTTAGGCCACGTTTCACTCCCTGACTCCCAAACACCTACCGCATGCCCCTTGGGGATCAGTGCAAGGGCATCGGCATCCCGGATCGAGCCCGCACAAGGGGGGGCTAGGGTTCGCGCATCCACGTCTCGAGGCTGTGGTGTATCATCCACCCGCCACGGATCCCCCCCCTCCTCCTCCGGACTCCACGTCTCCCTCCCCAGCAGCAGTCCCTCCTCTCCTCCCCCCTCCGCTGTCAACGTCGGCGCCTCCTGCTTCCTTGGCCCCTTGGTCTCTGCCTCCACCCGCTTATTCCCACCTCCCTCCTTCGGCACTACCTCCCTACCCCCCCCTTCATTCGCCTGCCCTTCCGAAGATTCTTCCCCCCACAGAAACGGCCCGTTCCACCGGGCGCCCTCATGCATCACTCCATCCTTCTCCCCGTTCCCCTCCTCCTCCTCCTCCTCCTCCTCCTCCTCCTCCTCCTCCTCCTCCTCCTCCTCCTCCTCCTCCTCCTCCTCCTCCTCCTCCTTCTCCTCCTCCTCCTCCCCACCCTCGCCCCCCACCTCCCGCTCCCCCCTCCCCAGCAGCAGCCCCTCTTCCCCCTCCCCCGCCGCTGTCAAGGTCGGTGCCTCCTGCTCCCCTGGCCCCTCATTCCCTGTCTTTACCTGCCCGTGATCATCTCCCTCCTTCGGTGCTACCTCCCCCCCCCTCCTCTGGTCGGCTGCCCTTCCGATGCTCCCCCCCCCCACCGAAACGACCCGCTCCGCTGTCTGCCCTCATCCATCACTCCATCCTTCTCCCCGTTCACCACCACCACCACCTCCTCCTCTCCCGACTCCTCCTCCTCCTCCTCCGCCTCCTCCTCCTCCTCCCGCTCCTCCCCCTCCTCCCCCTCCTCCTCCCCCCCCCCCTGCTTCTCCTCCACCGCACCCCCGTCCCCTTCCGCGCCATCGCAACCCTCATACTCCCCCCCTTCCTCTTCGGCTTGTTCGTGAACGCAGCCGGTAAGGTCAAACAAGCCAAACATATCTGGTTTCAAGCGTAACGCCCCACCTTCCGGGTGGGCAAGGATCTTCTGGAACTGTGTCAGGATACTGTGAACGGCAAGGGCGCACAGCGTGTCATGATCAGCCTCGATGGGCGGCCCCTCGAATTCGTGGCGCGCGTCATCAAGGGGAGTTGGTTAGTCGTTGCACAGATACCACGCAGGAGAGAGTTGCAGTGGGCTGGGATGGGGCCGCTGGATCAGACACTCACCACGCTATTGAATGGGACAGCTGCCATGCGCAGGGCGGCGATAGTGGGGAACGCGACGCCGTGGTTGAGCGCACGCCACTCCACTTCGATCCACATGGACACGACGCTGCAGAGCACGCAACACGAGTGAGGGGGGGTCAGTCCGGTGCCCTTGCGCTGCACGCAAAAATCAACGCGCACGGCTCACTGCTTACATCCATACGAGCCAGGGGTTTACGGCCCCGACGCATCTCCGGTCGGCGGGGGGGTTGACGTGGACCACCCGCGCGCGGATCTCGCTTCCCTCCTTCGCGGTGTCGCCAGGTTCCGCAAAGAGTGCTCGGGGGTTCATCACGGCCACAATGCTGCTGTGGGCCGGCACCTCGGGACAGTGCAAGCTGGGTGGGAAGGGAGAAGGTTGGCAACGGGTATGGTGCGTGAGTCGTTGAGGACGGAAGTGCATCCGTCCGTGTGTGCGGTGGTGTGCACGACAGCAGGGGCAGGGGACTTACTGGGGGAGAAGGAGGATGATGAGATCGTCATTGAGGAGGCCGGGTGGATACGTTCTGTCCTCTGGTCTGCGGTCCATGACGTCTAGTTCCTAACTCACATCGGTCCCTCCCATGATAAGCCTAGTACGCTTCGGGCTCGCCTGCTTCGCGGCCGCCCTCTCCATGACAAGCCTGCCGGCGCAGGTATGAAGCACGGTTAGGCACACGAGGTCAGGCAGCGCGTGAAACCGGCGTACCGACGTGACCACTCGGCAGTGGACGTGGCGTACTCACCTGACGAGGGTATCCGTGTGGTCTGCCGCCAGAGCAACGCTAGGTGCGCTCGCAGGCTCGATAACGACCCCGACACTCGGCCCACGCTCGGGACGATTCAGCGCCGCCTTGCCGGATGTCGCGCGGGCATCCGCATCCTCCTGGAGCCGCCGTCTAAGGTCGGTGCCGCAGCCCTCGTGGCCTCCCCCGGGCCTCGAGTGTTCCCACTCGCCTCGGCTTGGACCCGCTCCTGGATGAGGCGCCACAACTTGAGCGCGCACTTGGTGCCCGCGCACACCTCCCCCTCCTCCTCCGTCGTGCTCGGACCCTGCCACGCACGAAAGATGCGGCGTCAGCGGAAGGCGTCGCTGGCACTGGCGTAGGCCAATGAGCGGGCGAGCGGCGACGCTGTGCTCACCGCGTGCTCGTGCTCGAGGCGTAGCTATTTCAGGCGCTCGCCCACGCGCGCCGTTGCCCCCCTTCCTCTGACCCGCCCGGCCCTCCGTTCGTCTGCCTCCAACAATGTCCAGGCTTGTGGTTTGTGCCGCAGTGACTGCTCGATGTGAGGGGGGGTAAGTGCGCGAAAGCGGGTAGACGCGTTTGAAGGGCCCCTTCACGCACCCCCCAACCGCCATCCCGCAGAGATGCGCGGAACGTACCGGCAGGCAGCCCCCGCCTGGGCAGCGTGGCGGCCGGGCTCCGGCAAGGGATCGAAGTGGACCAGGCGCGTCTTGCACGGCCCATCGCCGCTCGCAAACAGGTCACCGGGGTTGTGTAGCACAACGGTGCTCGCGTGCAGACCGGTTCGCCCGGCCGTGCCCTTGCTGAAGAGGGACGGATGCACATCGGGAACGGGCTTGCGGTGAGTGCGGGGTTGAGATTCAGCCAGGAGTATGCACGCCCGTGTATTGCTCACCCTGGCACTGCTCACCTGTTTAGCGGCCAGCACAACATGTCCTGCTCGAAAAGTTCCTCCAGTCCTTTCCATCCCGACGGTACAGATGTTTGGAGCTCTCGGATTAACGCGCCGTTCAAGATCGCTACGCGTTTTCCGTAGTGAAGCAGCGCCTGCTTCGCGATGAACCTGCGAGCGCCGTGAGGGAGGGCATTGAGGGGTGTGAGCGAGACGGGTACGGAGCATGCACATGGGCTGTTAGCGTGGTGGTGGGTGGGGTGCCTGGGAGCATCACGTGAGGGCGTGCTGGAAGCCAATCACGGTGAGAGCCTTATCCGCGTCGTGTTTCGAAACGTCTCGGAGCATAACAAGAGGGCGTGCTGGAAGCACTTGGGGCGATAACAGTAGTCTTTAGAGACGTCTCGTAGCATAACAAGAGGGCATGCTGGAAGCACTTGGGGCGATAACAGTAGTCTTTAGAGACGTCTCAGAGCATAACAAGAGGTCGTGCTGGAAGCACTTGGGGTGATAACAGTAGTGCTAAGAGCCGTCTCAGAGCCTCACATGAGGGCGTGCTGGAAGCAGTTAACGGTGAGAGATCTCTTGTCGTCGAGCACCTCTCGATCGGCCTTAGTAAGCGGGCCGTTCGTCGATCCCCCTTCGACGTAAACGTCCTTCCAGCCGGCACTCCGTTGTTCATTTCCAGACATCGCGACGCCTTGTAAATCCGTGCTCCCGGCCCGTCGCGTCACTTCCGTCGGCACGAAGAAAGGCTCCTGCGAGGGAGCTCCAATCACACGGATGGCGGTGTTATCGTGAAAGAACGAAGCGCGCAATAGTTATCACTATGTGATCACACGGGCTGCCCTAGCTGGAGTTAGGTTGGTGGGTAAATGATGACCCGCCAAAATCCTCAGGGTGTTATTAAAACCGGAGGTCCAAGAGTTTCTAAGTTAGGAAGGTTGAAAGGGGAGAGAAAGGTGACTGGCTCGCGAGCCAGGGTGGTGTCAAAATTGGTGGTCTGGGGTCGTAAAGGAAGAAAATTTCGCGAAAATAACCAGATCTGGAATGCAACATCATAACTGGTTTGCACACAGTTTCGGACGGGCTTCAAATTTGTTGGCGAAATCGTCACTGCTTTCGTCCTCGCTAGAACAGTAGTTTCGCGTGACGAAAATTGTCCCCCCGATTTGCGAAGTGAGTCGTACCTAGTGCATCACCCCCAACGTGGCCTCCCTCCCTCCCTCCCCGCGTACGAAGATGCTCTGCCACGGTGCGAATCACCGAGTCAATGACATTGAACACCGTAACCCTTTCGGTCGCCGTTTTGGCCGCGAGTGCCTCCCTGTACACAAGATGCAAACATCATTAGTACATCTGGAAAACAAACAATCGTAAAGACGCGAAACAAATAACAAATGAAAAACATATACATACATACATACATACATACATACCTGTGCGCGATACAGTGAGATGACACCAGATGGGGGATGCGCAGTCGGAGGCGTGTGGTGAGGCCGGCCTTGCTGCCCATCATGACGTTGGCACCGTCGGTGCTGATCCCCGCTATGCGCTGAAGGTCGACCTCGACAGCCTACAGGTGTGACAACAGAACACTGAGGAGGGAAGCTGCATCTGCCTTCTCCACGGTAAGAAGAGCCATGAACTCCGTCACAAGCTTGTTGTCACGGATGAAAGAGATGAAGAGGATCAGGTGCTTCCCGCTGCACCTATCCGTGCTCTCGTCAATAGCGATGCGGACGAAGGGCGACGCCAGCACGTGCTCCAGCTGGGTTGTCTGGAGCCATGTCGCAATCGCTTGCATCAGCTCCCCGAAACCGTACCTGCATGCATAAAGAAACAGTAAGATTAACATTTGGACTAAACACTGACACAACAAAATGCATCAAATAACTTCGGGCAATTGCACTCACGTGGTGTAGTAGGTGCCATAGCCCTTCTTCGGGAAGCCAGGCACGCCCTTCTCTGCCAGGTAACGCAAAAGCTTCACCCACATCCCCATCGGCGCATTGGACCTGCTGATGAACAGCAGGGAGTCGAGAAGGACGACGACGCGCGACTGCTCTCCGTCCATGGTGGCGCGATGCTGGTCGATCTGTGGCTGAATCGCTCCACACTCCTGCACAGCTATTTGTCTCGCCATCGCCACCTGTGCTTAGCCGTGCCCGCGTGCTTACGGAACGACTGGGTCTGCAAGTCCGTGGCTCCTTTCCCGCGTCTCCCGCATTTGCCTCCGTCGCCAGCATAAGCTTCACACACAGTACACTTGAAGGCGGGCAAGCCGGAGGTGGTTTTGGTGATTTGCAGCCAGGGAAACCGCGCTTGCCACTGACTCTTGAACTTGTAAATGGCATCATCGTACAACCCTTCGACGAGCTCGGCCAGGTTTATGGTGAGGCGAGGTCGCGGACGTTCAGACGAGCCTGGAGAATTGTTGACGTCGCCGGTCAAGGATGAAGGCCTGGCGAAGCTCAATGTCGCCTGCTTGAGCCGGACGGATCGCGCCGTGGTCTGAGCGGGATGGTGCGATGCCGAAACATCAGTTGGTTCCGCAGGTGTCTCTGCCACAGGGTCGGGACTTGAGATTACGGGTGCTGGAGGTTCCTTCAAGGTGGGGATACAATCGGGCTCAGCGCGTGCTGCCTTCTTGAGAGCTAGGTGACAGAGCAAAAAATCCAAGCCTGTTAACGGAGGCTGCGAATCATTGTCGTCTTCATCGGAGGTAGCGGGATTGTCTGGCTGAGCCATGGCGAAGAGTTGAGAGAGCCTGCCGAGCAGTTAAGAGAGGCGGTTTTGAGGCTACTGAACTGGGCAGTGGAGGGGCCCCGTGAATTGAAGCTGAGCTGAGGGATGGGGATGAAACCCTAGCTCGTAGAGGATGGCCCTATAACTGATTGTGGGCCATCCATGCCTCTGGTGGGTGGTTGCCTAGCATGCACGGCAACGACGAGGCGTGTCTGCCGTGCACGATGCTGCCAAAGGGACCAATTAACTGGTGTTCTTGGCAACATCTGCTTGCCATCACCTTTACGTGGGTGGCAACTGCTGCAGCATTGTGGACACTGGTGGTGGTGGGGTTCGTGATGGCAGTCAAAAGCTGCCCATCGGACCAATCAATGCTCTAACAGAGTGTGTGCTGGAGCTTACACCGTGGGAAACATCGCGCCGCAGGGCGGGGGAATCATCCAGCTGTACAAGGGAAACACCGCGCCGCTGGGCGGCGTCGCCTACAGAACTTGACAGTTGGCACAGATTTCGCGTGATTGACTGAACAGGTACAATGTACCATTGGTAATCCTGGGTGACGGTGCACAGGTAGTTACAATCAGAGTCAGTACTCGTTTGTACTCTGAATTCTTCAGAGTACACTCACGGGAAACTCTGAAATATCAGAGTCAGCCTAGCAAAAAATACGGTACCGGTATGATTTTACAGAGTTGAAGCCAAAATAATTCTGAATTTCTCAGAGTACCACTCCTACAAAAATATCTGAAATCTCAGACTTTTTCAAGCAAATCAGACAAATTTCTCTGACTTATGAGGGCCTGCAACCAGGGCTGACGTTTCAAATTTAGGTACCCTGATGTCCACCAAAAAAAAAAAATTTTACCCTGAAGGCATATTTTCCAGAAAAGCAGCACCCTGATTGCTCAGTGTTGGGAAGTTATACAGTCTGAGTGTTCAGGGTCGAGAAGTCACGATCAGGGTACGTGTAGTAACGCGCTGTGCATTATCGAAACTGAACTTTGATGGCGAATCTGTTCTGTGAAAGGGCGAATGTGCAATGTCAGATACATTTTACTGTGATTGGTCAAGACCTTTGTGCTCTGACAGCTCAAATCTGCTGTGTCAGGGCCATTTCGCTGTGATTGGGCAAATTCGTTGCTCCGTACGGCGCGAATTCGCTTTGTCAACGCGAATTTTTAATGACGCTGGTGCTGTGACCAGTCAAGACGGGTTTGACTCACCAGTTTGACCCTCACTAGTGAACCTCGGAGGTGGGTGTATCGAAAGGAAATTTCGAGGAAGCTTCCTCCCGATAAACTTGCATGCAGGGACCACAGAACGCATACTCTGTAGTGACAGACTCCAGAAATGACTAACACTGAGGCCTATTACACTGAATCAGGGGCCATAAAACAATAACTCTGAGGCTCTCAATGATGAAAATTTGACTACTCTGGAATTCCATTTTTCACAAACTCGATGGTCTGATCCGTCAGACTAATCAGACTATTTACTCTGATAGCGTCAGCCCTGCCTGCAACCAACCTCCAACCAGTGCCGTCTCCCTTCACTGTGTGTGGGTTTGTGTAATGACTGTCTGTCAGTGGAGCTACTGGTAATGGGACACCACCACTTTGGTTCGGAGTTTCTATCAATCAACCGAGGCAGCAGCTATGGTACCTCGTTCATTGCCAATGACATTTGTTCCAAGGATTGGAATGAGGCAGCAGCAAATGTTTCTGTACTAGCTATCAGCATTGTTTTGAAGGATTGGAAACAATGCAGCAGCTGCCAGCTGGGTTCATTGCTGACACGGTTCGTCAGATCAGGACGGGAGGATAGAATGATATCCGTCAGCTCAGCTTGGTTGCTTTCAGGACAAGCCACACTGTCAAGCACCCTTGTAACGATGTGCGTGCGCACACGATCACACATTGCACCGACTGATGATACCGTACATCACAGGCATTTCCTTCCAGCTGACTGAGAGTCCCACTTGAAAACAATCCTCACCCCACCACCAGGTTGAGAGAGAGAGTCCTCCCCTTGACAAACATGGTCTTGCGCGCGCACGCTCTTCCCACACAATCTCCCTCTCCCCCCCTCTCCCCCCCCTCTCCTCTTCCTCCTCCCCCACCTCACCCCACCACCAGGTTGAGAATCCTCCCCTTGACAAAGATGATCTTGTGCACGCTCTTCTTCACACACAAATCTCCCTCCCCCCCCATCCACCCCCCCTCTCCTCTTCCTCCTCCCCCACCTCATCCCACCACCAGGTTGAGAATCCTCCCCTTGACAAAGATGGTCTTGCGTACACTCTTCCCCTCCACCAGGCGGGCCACGTTGGGGTGGTCCAGCGCTGCCGCCACGGCTGCTTCCTGCTCCACGCCCACCGCCACCTGCAGTGTGGCGCGCACCTTGCCGTTCACCTGCACTGGCAGGGCTATCGTGTCCTCCACCAGGTACTGGGGCAGGGCCTGGTGGGGAGGGGAGGGGAAGGGGCGAGGGGAAGGGGCAAGGGAAGGTAGAGTAGGTAGAGTGAGGGGGATTGCGGTAGCCTGGCACCTGGAGTGTGGTGCGCACCCTGCCGTTCACCTGCAGTGGCAGGGCTATCATGTCCTCCACCAGGTACCGGGGCAGGGCCTGGTAGGGGAAGAGGAAGGGAGAAACGGGAGGGAGGGCACGTGGTCAGAGCATCCATATCACGGAGCGCACCTCAAGGCCAGAGCTCCCGCCCCTTTCAACAACAGCACGCACCTTCACGCGGCTTCAGCAAGTGTGAGCACCCTCCCCCCCCGGGCTGCCAGAAGCGCCCTGCCAGACTGGGAGGGTTTCTTGTGTCCACAGAGAGGGCACCCCCTCCCTTAAACAAAGAAACGCACCTGCGGCCACGGCTCGTAGGCGAGCGACGAGGTGCCCCCCAGGCGCTGCCAGAGCTCCTCGGCAACGTGCGGGGCGAAGGGCGACAGCAGCAGCACGAGCGGGCGGGCGGCGTCTTTCGGCACGCTGGGCCACTTGTAGGCGGCGTTGGTGAACTCCATCATGGCCGCTATGGCTGTGTTGAACCGCATCGCCTCTACCTCCTCCGTCACCTGGTGGTGATGGTGGGTGGAGGGGTGGGTGGTGGTGATGAGTGGTGGGGTGGTGGGTGGTGGTGGGTGGGTGGTGGGTGCAAGAATGAGAAGGTGCGTGGCTGAAAGCAGTAGCACTAGAAGAGAGAGTGCCCCTCTTCCATTCCACCCACCTTGTGCATGCACAACAAAGACAGACGTTCACTGATGCGCCTCAAACCTGGTTTTTGAGAATTCTAAAAACTAGAAGAGAGAGTGCCCCTCTTCCATTCCACCCACCTTGTGCATGCATGCAGACAGACAGACGTGCACTGATGTGCCTCAAAACTGTCCCACCTGGTGCGTGCAAGCAGGGCGAGAGTGAGGCGCCGCACTGCAAGCCTCCCCTCCCTCCCCCACCAGCAAGACTGCTCGCCCCCTCACTGCTCGCCCCCTCACTGCTCGCCCCCCCCCTGCTCGGCCCCTCCCTGCCACACCCTGTGGACGGGATACACCAGTGTGAGGCGAGACTGTACGTCTCCCCCTCTTTTGAGGCGCCTCAAAAGGCGAGACTGTACGTCTCCCCCTCTTTTGAGGCGCCTCAAAAGGCGAGACTGTACGTCTCCCCCTCTTTTGAGGCGCCTCAAAAGGCGAGACTGTACGTCTCCCCCTCTTTTGAGGCGCCTCAAAAGGCGAGACTGTACGTCTCCCCCTCTTTTGAGGCGCCTCAAAAGGCGAGACTGTACGTCTCCCCCTCACACCTCTCAGCTCTTCCTCCGAGGGAGCGCTGTCCACCACAGACGGCGCCACCCCTGCAGCACGTTACTGCCCCGTGACAGGGTCTGCCTGCCTGCCCCACCAGCGTGACTGTGTGTGTCCCCTTCCCGCCTCCTCACCTTGTGGATGCAGGCGTGCAGGGCTCTCAGCTGTTCCTCCGAGAGATCATCATCCACGACAGACGGCGCCACCCCTGCAATGCGGTACTGCCCGGTGGCGGGGTCTGCCTGCCCCACGAGCACCAACTTGACTGCACTGCACTGCACCCCTACCTCCCATCCCCCCCTCACACCTTAAGAATGCACGCGTGCAGCGCTCTCAGCTGCTCCTCCGAAGGGGCGTCGTCCACGACAGAGGGCGCCACCCCTGCAGCGCGGTACTGCCTCGTGGCGGGGTCTGCCTGCCCCACGAGCACCAAATTGACTGCACTGCACTGCACTGCACCCCTACCCCCCATCCCCCCCTCACACCTTATGAATGCACGCGTGCAGCGCTCTCAGCTGCTCCTCTGAAGGGGCGTCGTCCACGACAGAGGGCGCCACCCCGTGGGAGCGGTACTGCCCGGTGGCGGGGTCTGCCTGCCCCACGAGCAGCCGCCACACGCGCGCCAGGAACCGATGCACTCCCTCCACTCCCTTGGTGCTCCACACCTTGGTCTCCCTGCAAAGAGGAGGGGGGATGAGGACAGCAGGGGAGTCGTCAGGGTAGGAGGAGGAGGGAAGAGGAGGGAAGAGGAGGGAAGAAGACGGAAGAGGAGGGAAGAGGAGGGAAGAGGAGGGAAGAGGAAGTGGGGTGATGTCCCATGCGGAGTGTCTTTCTCAAGCGCCTAAAGAATCCACGTGCACTGAGGAACCATTGCATGCCCTCCACCACGCCTTGCTGCCCCAACGTTTACAACAAACAAGACCTGGCAGCCCCACACAAGAAAAAAAAAAACAACAAAAGCGCGTGAGAGCTCACCGGAGCGGCCCCATGAACATCTTGTAGAAGCGCAGTGAATCGGCCCCAAACTCAAACACCACATGGTCGGGGTTCACCACGTTCCCCCTCGACTTGCTCATCTTGTGCGCTCATGAGGAACCAAGGCGCACCCTCCTAGGCTCACCTGAGCGGCCCCATGAACATCTCGTACAGCCGCAGTGAGTCGGCCCCAAACTCAAACACGACGTGGTCGGGATTGACAACGTTCCCCCTTGACTTGCTCATCTTGTGTGCGCGCGCAGACACCCCCACGCTCGGGTCCGCCCTGAGCACGTACCCCTCCCCCTTCTTCTCCACCGCCTCTTCAGGCACCCTCTCAGGCACACACTCCCCCGCGGGGCGCTTGGCGGCAGCGTCGGCGGAGAGGAGGGCTCCTGAGGCGGTGTCTCGGTAGGCTGTGAACTCGACTTCCCCGAGAATCATTCCCTGGTTGACCAGACACTGGAAGGGCTCTTTCGTTGAAACTGCTCCTATGTCGTATAGCACCTGCCATAGAGGAGTGGGGGGAAGGAGGGGTAAAGGTGAACTCCACGTACGTGGCAGTCGTGCCCCTTCCCACTCCTCTTCTCCACCGCCGTCTCAGGCCCCCTCTCAAGCACCCTCTCAGGCACACCCTCCCCCGCGGGGCGCTTGGCGGCGGCGTCGGCGGAGAGGAGGGCTCCTGAGGCGGTGTCTCGGTAGGCTGTGAACTCGACTTCCCCGAGAATCATTCCCTGGTTGACCAGACACTGGAAGGGCTCTTTCGTTGAAACTGCTCCTATGTCGTATAGCACCTGCCATAGAGGAGTGGGGGGAAGGAGGGGTAAAGGTGAACTCCACGTACGTGGCAGTCGTGCCCCTTCCCACTCCTCTTCTCCACCGCCGTCTCAGGCACCCTCTCAGGCACACACTCCCCCGCGGGGCGCTTGGCGGCGGCGTCGGCGGAGAGGAGGGCTCCTGAGGCGGTGTCTCGGTAGGCTGTGAACTCGAATTCCCCGAGAATCATTCCCTGGTTGACCAGACACTGGAAGGGCTCTTTCGTTGAAACTGCTCCTATGTCGTACAGCACCTGTTGGTTGTGGGGGGGAGAGGTAGAGGGTTAAAGTTGAACTCCACCTCGCCCAGAATCATGCCCTGGTTGACCAGACAGTGGAAGAGCTCCTTTGTTGACTTTGCTCCTATGTCATACAGCACCTGGTGAGGAAGGGAAGGTTGGCGTGGCCGTGTGTTGCTTTGCCTCGACGTGAATTTGAAGTTCCAGCAGGTAGTGGTGTACACCCACCCACCACCACACCACACCCCTCACCTCTTTTTGTACCGTTCACCACATGAGCCCCTCACTCACCTCACCCCTTGCACCGCTACCGCCACCACCAGTGCCACGCCACGCCTTGCACCCGTTACACCACCACTCCCTCACCTTGTGCCAGAAGCGTGCATACAGCAGGTGCAGCACTGAGTGCTCTGCTCCCCCCACGTACAGATCCACTGGGCCCCAGTACCTGGTTGGTAGGCAGTGTGAGAGGGCAGGCAGAGGGGCAGTGGTGGTATTAACTGCAAGCAATATCTACAGGCATGGGGTCGACTCAAAAGCACCCCCCCCCCCACGTACAGATCCACTGGGCCCCACCCCAGTACCTGGCGGTGTGAGAGGGCAGGCATTAAGACAGATGGACGGAGCTGGGTTAGGTATGCTGCAGGAAGAAGTATCTGAGCTGAGGCACCTCAAAAGACGGAGCTGGGTTAGCTAGGTCCTAGGAAGAATTATCTGAGCTGAGGCACCTCAAAAGACGGAGCTGGGTTAGCTAGGTCCTAGGAAGAAGTATCTGAGCTGAGGCACCTCAAAAGACGGAGCTGGGTTAGCTAGGTCCTAGGAAGAAGTATCTGAGCTGAGGCACCTCAAAAGACGGAGCTGGGTTAGCTAGGTCCTAGGAAGAAGTATCTGAGCTGAGGCACCTCAAAAGACGGAGCTGGGTTAGCTAGGTCCTAGGAAGAAGTATCTGAGCTGAGGCACCTCAAAAGACGGAGCTGGGTTAGCTAGGTCCTAGGAAGAAGAGAAAGCCTTGCTGCGGCGAGGTGCAGCGGAGCAGGGTGGGGAGAGTGCTGGGAGTGGGGGAGTGGGGAAGTGTGTGTGCTGCTACTACATTAAGACTGTGATGTGCTGCGTGAGGGGTGCAGTGGAGTGCAGCGCGGCACTGCCCAGTGCCTCTGCGCATGTGGCGACTCACTTCTCCTTTTGTGGGTCCACGAGGGCGTTGGAGTTGGCCGGGTCCATGAAACGCAGGTAGTACCTGCCATGCCATGCCATGCCATGCCATGCCATGCCATGCCATGCCATGCCATGCCATGCACACACAGACCCAGATAAGGAGTAAGAGCGTGCCACAGAGGGTGAATGAATGGCATGGCATGCAGGCTAGTAGTAGCAGGCGCGGTGGGTCGAGTTTGGTATGCAAGCACCACAATGCTGAATTGCCAGCACGTGCAGAGACCGCTAGGGGGACAGCAGCAACGGCATAGGCACCTGTTATTAGGAATCATGTGGTTACCAGCAGCAGCAAAGATGTGGTTACCAGCAGCAGCAAAGGTGTGGTTACCAGCAGGAGCCAAGGCATGGTTACAAGCAGGAATTACGACATGGTTACAAGCAGGCAAGGCATGGGGTTACCAGCAGGAGCCAAGGCATGGGGTTACCAGCAGGAACCGGCCCATTGAGGCATGGTGTTGGTCTCCCGCCTGGCGGGTAGTCCTGATGCTGGATCTGTTGTATTCACCTGAAGGAAACACGAAAATTGAGGGAGCGGGGAGGGAAGGAGGGGAGGATGCAGAGAGGTCAGTAAGGATCGGGGCGGGGTGATGGGCTCTCGACTTGAGTAAGGATCGGGGCGGGGTGATGGGGGAAAATACCAAAAGGCTGGCTCCTGACTTCACTTCCCTGCTGCTGCCCGCCCTTGCATTGCATCCCCACCCATTTTCCGTGGCTCTTTCTCAGCCTTCTAATTCTATTCTTCCCACTATCCCCGTAATCCGTGTCCTCCCCACTGCCCCCTTCAAGAAGCCTACCTAGTCAGTGGCCTTGGCAAGGGGTGGTTCCTTCCTCCGTGCCGGTGGGATTGAAGTCGGCCATTTCAGGCAGCACCACCGGCAGCTGTGACTCCGGTACCCACACCGCCAATGTCACACCCTTCCCCTCACCTCTTCTCTCAATCTCAGCCTACCCAGTCAGTGGCCTTGGCAAGGGGCTGTTCCCCCGTGCCCATGGGGTTAAAAACGTCCATTTCAGGCAGCACCACCGACAGCTGTGACTCCGGCACGCCCACCCCACACGCCCTCTCCTTCCCTGCCCACTAACAAACCAACGCTTCCCCCCTCCTCAAGCCTACCCAGTCAGTGGCCTTGGCAAGCGGTGGTTCCCCCGTGCCAGTGGGGTTGAAGTCGTCCATTTCAGGCAGCACCACCGGCAGCTGTGACTCCGGCACGCCCACCACGCGCTCCCGCCCGTCTTCCCCCGGCACCAGCACCACTGGGAACGGCTCGCCCCAGTAGCGCTGCCGGGCGAATAACCAGTCCCTCAGCTTGTAGTTGATCTGCAAGGAGGGGGGGAGGGGGGAGTTGGGGCGGGGGTGGCACTTTGAGCGAGCTCCGACTCCCCCCACCCCAGTAGTGCTGCCGGGCGAATGACCAGTCCCTCAGCTTGTAGTTAATCTGCAAGGAGGGGGGGAGGGGGGAGTTGGGGCGGGGGTGACACTTTGAGCGAGCTCCGACTCCCCCCAGTAGCGCTGCCAGGTGAATAACCATGTCCCTCAGCTTGAAGTTGATTTGCAAGGAGGGGGGATGAGGGGGGTGGTTGGAGGGTTGGTATCACTCCGAACGAGCTATAAAAGCTGCTGTTACCGGCTCGCCCCAGTAGCGCTGCCGGGCGAATAACCATGTCCCTCAGCTTGTAGTGGATATGTAAGGAGGGGGAAAGGGGGAGGTTGAAGGGGAGAAGGAGGGGATTGTCCCAGAGAACGTTCCGAACCCACTGCTGTGTAGTCTACCTGCTCGCCTCTCCCTGTTCCTCTGTTCACATGATTACCCACTATCCCCCTGTCTTTTTACTGCCTCACCTGCTTCTTCCCCACCCCTGCCTCACCTGCTTCTTCCCAAGCCCCCGCTCTTCCAGCCAGGCAACAACAGCGTCCCTAGCAGCGGTGTTGTCGAGCCCGTTCAGGTCCACCCCCGTGCTCTCATACCATCACACCATCGTACGCCGGATTCACCATCACACCACTCCCTGCGTACGCCTCCGTTATCGCCTCTTCACTGACTCACCTGCTTCTTCGCACCCCTGCCTCACCAGCCGCAACCCCCTGTGCCTTACCTGCTTCTTCCCCAGTCCCCGCTCCTCCAGCCAGGCAACAACAGCATCCCCAGCAGCGGTGTTGTCGAGCCCGTTCAGGTCCACCCCCGTCCTCTCATACCCCGAATTCACCATCACTCCACTCCCCGCATACGCCTCCTCTATCGCTGCCTCTTCTTCTTCCCTTGCCGCTTCTCCTGACGCTTTCTTCCCCTTACCACCACCGCTGCGCTGCGCTGCTTGGCGCACGACTTGGCGCACGGGCAGAGAGAAGGTTTGGGCGAATTCGAGGTCTCGCGAGTCGTGCGCCGGCACGGCCATGATGGCCCCCGTGCCGTAGCTGCAGCAGATGGGATGGGAGGGATGTGGCAGGGCGAAGAGAAGGGTAAATGAAGGTGCTTTGAGGCGCGCCTCAGGAGTCGTGTCCCCGCACTGCCATGATGACCCCCGTGCCGTAGCTGCCGGCAAGGAGGGCGAAGGGGGCAGGGCGAAGGGAAAGTGATTTGAGGTCTCGCGAGTCGTGTCCCGGCACTGCCATGATGGCCCCCGTGCCGTAGCTGCCGTGTAGCAAGGAGAGGCGAGGTCATGGTACGACAGGCAGCGGGAGAGAGGGGAGGAGGGGTGCGTTAGAGCATGTGAAGTCACGTGCATCATGTGTCTTTCGAGGCGCCTCAAAAGTAGAGCATGTGAGGTCACGTGCATCATGCGTGGGAGCTGGCAAATGATGGCGCCAGTGCCGTAGCTGCAGGCAAAGGAAGTGGAGGGGGAGGGCAGGGCAAGAAGAGGAGCAATAGTACAGAGCACAAGTAGATGGAGAGAGGAGCGCAGGGGTGAGTGAGAGCATGCGCATTTAATAAATCTGCGTCTTCTTAACCACCCCACTAGCACAGCACGCACCTAGCGAGCACATAGTCGGCAACCCACACGGGGATGCGCTCGCCCGTGACAGGGTTGACCGCCTCTGCCCCCATGGCATGCCCTGTCTTGCTCTTGGCCAGGCCCGTGCGCCTTAGATCGCTCTTCACAGCACGGCAATGCACAGAACCGCACAGCACAGCACAGCACCCACCTGGCGAGCACGTAGTCAGCGACCCACACGGGGATGCGCTCTCCCGTGACGGGATTGACGGCCTCTGCCCCCGTGGGCACGCCCGTCTTGCCCTTGGCCAGGTCCGTGCGCTCCAGGTCGCTCTTCTGCCCCGCCGCCACCACATACGCCTCCACTGCCGCCCTCTGCTGCTCCGACGTGATGGAGGTGACTAGCGGGTGCTCTGGTGCCAACACTAGGTAGCTGGTGGTGAAGGCGGAGGGGAGGGGGGGAAAGGATGAGAAGAAGGGGGAGAGGGTTGGGAATGGGGGGGGAGGAGGGAAAGAAACATGGCAGCAAGACAGTCTAGCGGTATGCGGCTTTTCAGGCACCCATGATAACAGACTACTACTCGCCAGGTGACTTTTGAGTCGACTAAAAAAGGCAATCCAGCGATGTGAGGATTTTTAGGTGGCCAGGCAGGCAGACGGACTTGATTCAGAGTCCAGACCAATGAAAGGAACCCACGTGGCGCCGCAGATGGTGTCGGGACGTGTGGTGAACACGCGCACGCTGGCAGATCCGTCTGCCACGTCAGCGATGGCGAACTCCACCTCAGCGCCCTCGGACCGTCCGATCCAGTTGCGCTGCATCTCCTTGACGCTCTCGGGCCAATCCAGGCCGTCCAAATCGTCCAGCAGGCGATCGGCGTACTCCGTGATTCGCAGCATCCACTGGCGCATGGGCTGACGAGTGGTAAAGGGGGGGGGAGCGGGTAAGGGGTAAGGGAAGAAAGGGTTGGCATGGAAGACAAAAGTTGAGAGGGGAAAGCAATCGGCGTACTCAGTGATTCGCAGCATCCACTGCCTCTTGGGCTGGCGAGGGGAGGGGAAAGGTGGGAAGGGGATGGAGGAGAGTGGGAGGTCAGTAAGTGGGGAAGGGAGAAGGGGTAAGGGTGAGTGGGGAAGAGGGGCGTTGGAGCACACAGAAGCTCTGACACAGTGAAGTGAACAAATGAGAAGTCTCAGAAGTCAGTGGAAGGTAAGTTGCATTACCTCTGCGGCAGTATGATGCGTTACAGGAGATGCAGAGCTATGATGCGAAAGATGCGTCCTGCGTCCTGGACGCATGCGTCTGGACGCATGCGTCCGGACGCAGGACGCTTCACCAGGACCAGAAAGACACACCAAAAGACGCAGTCCCGGGCAGGTAAAAAAAAACCCCGGGCAGGCAAAAAAACTTGTTATAGGGCATGGGATGAGGGGGGGGGGGGACGTTCCACACTTTCAAGGCAAACTTGGCCCCAACATCAAATTTTCCCCCAAATCTCAAGATTAAGGTGAGTCACGTATTGTCACACACATGTCCCAAGGTCACATGCACAGTTCATCGTATCACTGAAGAACACGCATACTATTACACTACCACCACAGCACTGCATGCAGGCAACCAGTCACTCATCCCCGTCCTCCTCGCTATCCTTCTCATCCTGGTCCTTGTACTCATCGACCATCATGTCGTCCTCGTCCACCTCCCTCTCCCCATCCTCCTCCAACATGTACCCCTCGGGGAGGGGAGGGGTGGGAATGTTCCCCTGCACTACCCCCGCCTTCCTCACTTCCCCACTTGGCCCTGCAACAACTGCACCCTCGTGGTGGCCGAGCACAGCCTTCCAGTTGTGCGCCACGAACACCAGGTCGCGCACCTTCTCCGACCCCAACCTGTTCCTGCGCGCCGTGTGCACCCCATCCCACGTAGCCCATCCCGCTCGCACGGAGAAGCGGAAACGGCCTGTGACACCGCACGGATTGCAAGGCCTGTCAGATCGGCATACTCCCAGCCATTCATCTTCCACCACGTCGCCATGTCCCCCTTCCCTGCCTTCAGCTGCGCACGCCCCTCTATCGCCTCCTCCGTCCCAAAGCACCCCCTGCCCTCAATGTACGCCAGCATCCCCTCCTGCAGCGCCATCATCGTTCCAGTCCTCTCGCCATCCTTCTTCCAGTACTTGTCGACAAAGGCCCTCGAGCGCGACAGCCAGGCCTTCATCACCCTGGTGCACTCAATGTCCTTGAGATAGATCCCCTCCTCCTGGTTGACCGGGTTCAGAATCCGGCCTACCACGTGAAGAGGACAGGCCAAACTCTCGTCCCAACGCCGCCTCAAGTGCTCCAGCAACCCCTCCTTATCCGCATCGCTGAGCGGACAATCCGCACTCTCCAACAGCGCCGACAAGTCCTCCGTCAGCTGCAGCATCAGGTCGTACATTGCCCCCATCATCCCCTTCGCCGGCCCATCCGTCTTCCTCATCACCTTGTACGGCAGCGCCATTACCTTCATGAAGGTATCCACCTTTGCCCACCACTCCACATCCAACACCGACGCCTCAAAGTCTTTCCCAGTCAGCTGCTTCCTCCCCTTCTCCTCCCAATCCTTGTGCGTCACCATCGCCGTCAGCTGAGGGCGAATCTCACGCAGACGAGACACCGCTATGTACTGCGTCCCAAAGCGCGTGCCCGCCGGTTGCAGCGGCTGAAGCGACTTCTCCTCCCCGTGCAGCTCGGGACAGCGCAGGAAGGCACGCGTCCACGTGTGGCTGCGAATGAACGAAATCATGTCGGTCGCCACAGGCACGACCTCCTGCGCCCAAGCCATGCTGCCGAAGTCCTCCAATAGCAAGTCGAGCACATGAGTGGCGCAGGGGACGAACTCAATGTGCGGGTACTTCTTCTGCAGCAGCTTAGCGGCGGACACGTAGTTGCTGCCGCCGTCCGTGCAAATCGCGACGACGTGCTCCGGTCCAACCTTCTCGATGACCGGCTGCAGGACGCTCACGATAAACGCCCCGCTTTTGGTCTCCGCCTTGCAGTCAACCGCCTCCTGGAAAATCGCTCCATTGGCGTTGATGCAGAGGATGTTCATCTGCGCACGCCCGCTCTTGTCCCTCATCATATCGCTTGCGATCGTCATGCCAGTCTCCTTCCACGTCTTCGTAATGGGCGTCAATCCCTTCTCAATCTGCTGCTTGCACGCCAGCAGCCCGGCGCCTCCAACGTAACCACGCTTGGGGGGGACATAGCCGGGTCCGGCGGCGTTCACGGCGCGCAGCATGTTGAGGAAGAGGGGGTGCTGGCATATAGTCTCCCCCAAGCGCGTCCCCGTGATGAAGAGGCAAATCGAATCGTCGGCAGCACGCTTCGCCGCCTTCCCCCCCTCGCCATACCAATCCTCCATCCGCCCCTTCTTTGCCTTCGGTTCCGCTCCGCCATGGCCGCTCACCGCAGTAAGCGCCGCCTCGAAAGCCCTCTCCTTATCCTTGCGCGCCGTAATCTTTGTCTCCTTCCCGCCGCGAATGGCGTCTGAAATGCTCTTAGGAACCTTCGCGCAAACAACACCGCCATCGCGCCGCACGTTCGCGTCGTTCCATTCGGCGAGATGCTGAGTGCACCGGCTACTACTGAAGGCGAACGATTTCTCGCACCAAAGGCACTTGCACTGCAATCCCTTTTTCGTCGGATCCTCGAATGTCCAAAAATGCCTATAAATATGGTGTTTGGGCTTTTGCGGTTTCTTCTCCACCCCATCACTAGTGAAACGCTGCGGGGGAGACTCGTCCTCGGCATGAACATCCCTAGATGCGTTAGATGACGTAGGGTTGCTTGAGGAAGCCATAATGGAGCTAAGCTATGCTTGTAGGCTAAAACCTCTAGGGTTTTCGAAAGAGAATTGGTTGGGTGGGTGAAATGAGAAATGACTTGGTTAGATTGCTAAATGGGCTTGGTGGTAGGCACCTTGGTTGGGTTTTCTAGATGTGAAGTGGTTGAGCGGTATTTGGAATTCAATTGTTGCATGGGGGGTTATGAAATGTTGGGGGGGGGCTGTTTTTCAATGTCGAATTGGGCAATGGGGGGTCAAAATTTCGCGATTTCGACAGTCGCGTCGAAATCGCGAGATTGAAATTCGTAATCTGGAAAAAAAATCTGCGTCCTGCGTCTGGACGCGCGTCTTGCGTCCTAGCGTCCAGACGCTGCGTCCAGACGCAGGACGCAACGTCCTCTAAGCGTCTTTCGCATCATAGATGCAGAGAGGGATGCCCTGTGCCTGTACCTTCGCATTGGAATGGGGTGTTCCCCCAACCACCCCCCTCCCATTTCTGTCTTGACGGGTCATATTCGTGACAATCACAAATTCAACCAGAGCACACCTTCCGAATGAAGAACCTTCAGCATCGAAAGCTGAATCCCCACCCACCCACGCACGCACCTTGCGGATGACGGGGTGGCCGCCCCTCTCACTGAGACCGTCCACCACCTCCTCATTCGCCAGCACCGTTCCTAGCGCCGGACACCAGTTCACTGCCACGTCCGCCTGGTGGGATGGGGGAAAGAGGGGCAGGAGTGAGAGGGAGGGGCAGAGAGAAGTAGGGTGGCTGGGACGCCAACGTGACTTTTGAGAATTCTAAAAAAAGGGTAGGAGTGAGAGGGAGGGGCAGAGAGAAGTAGGGTGGCTGGGACGCCAACGTGACTCTTGAGAATTCTCAAAAGAGGGGCAGGAGTGAGAGGGAGGGGCAGAGAGAAGTAGGGTGGCTGGGACGCCAACGTGACTCTTGAGAATTCTCAAAAGAGGGGCTGGAGTGAGAGGGAGGGGCAGAGAGAAGTAGGGTGGCTGGGACGCCAACGTGACTCTTGAGAATTCTCAAAAGAGGGGCAGGAGTGAGAGGGAGGGGCAGAGAGAAGTAGGGTGGCTGGGACGCCAACGTGACTCTTGAGAATTCTCAAAAGAGGGGCTGGAGTGAGAGGGAGGGGCAGAGAGAAGTAGGGTGGCTGGGACGCCAACGTGACTCTTGAGAATTCTCAAAAGAGGGGCAGGAGTGAGAGGGAGGGGCAGAGAGAAGTAGGTTGGCTGGGACGCCAACGTGACTCTTGAGAATTCTCAAAAGAGGGGCAGGAGTGAGAGGGAGGGGCAGAGAGAAGTAGGGTGGCTGGGACGCCAACGTGACTCTTGAGAATTCTCAAAAGAGGGGCAGGAGTGAGAGGGAGGGGCAGAGAGAAGTAGGGTGGCTGGGACGCCAACGTGACTCTTGAGAATTCTCAAAAGAGGGGCAGGAGTGAGAGGGAGGGGCAGAGAGAAGTAGGGTGGCTGGGACGCCAACGTGACTCTTGAGAATTCTCAAAAGAGGGGCAGGAGTGAGAGGGAGGGGCAGAGAGAAGTAGGGTGGCTGGGACGCCAACGTGACTCTTGAGAATTCTCAAAAGAGGGGCAGGAGTGAGAGGGAGGGGCAGAGAGAAGTAGGGTGGCTGGGACGCCAACGTGACTCTTGAGAATTCTCAAAAGAGGGGCAGGAGTGAGAGGGAGGGGCAGAGAGAAGTAGGGTGGGTGGGACGCCAACGTGACTCTTGAGAATTCTCAAAAGAGGGGCAGGAGTGAGAGGGAGGGGCAGAGAGAAGTAGGGTGGCTGGGACGCCAACGTGACTCTTGAGAATTCTCAAAAGAGGGGCAGGAGTGAGAGGGAGGGGCAGAGAGAAGTAGGGTGGCTGGGACGCCAACGTGACTCTTGAGAATTCTCAAAAGAGGGGCAGGAGTGAGAGGGAGGGGCAGAGAGAAGTAGGGTGGCTGGGACGCCAACGTGACTCTTGAGAATTCTCAAAAGAGGGGCAGGAGTGAGAGGGAGGGGCAGAGAGAAGTAGGGTGGCTGGGACGCCAACGTGACTCTTGAGAATTCTCAAAAGAGGGGCAGGAGTGAGAGGGAGGGGCAGAGAGAAGTAGGGTGGCTGGGACGCCAACGTGAAGCACACCTGGTAGGCGAGGCCATGGTTGAGGTGAGGATCCCCTGCGTCCAGCTATACTGGCGGAGGAGAAGAGATGCCCTTTCAAGCCTCATGCAACGAACCAGTCCCATCCCCACCCCACCTGGTGCGCAAGGGCGCGGCTGAGGACGTGCAGGACGTTCCACACTGCGTCCAGCGGTAGCAGTCGGATTTGAGGTTGATTTTGGGAATTCTCAAACAACCTCAAAATCAACCTCAAACAACAGGAAGTTCCACACTGCGTCCAGCGGTAGCAGTCGGAGCGGTGGATCTTCCTGTCTACGGGTTGAGACTGTCTATTAGCATCTCCAGCCCACGTGATGTGAGGCTCACATGCTGATCAACCCAGCCCAGCCATGTGGACTCTCAACCCCACTGCACCTGGTAGGCGAGTCCCCGGTTGAGGATCTGCAGGAAGATCCACTGCGTCCAGCGGTAGTAGTCGGGGTCGGTGGTCGACACCTCCCTCTGCCAGTCATATGAGAACCCCAGCGCCTTCAGCTGGTGTGAGGGGAAGGGGAGGAGGGCCGAACGGGGATGTGGTGAAAGGAGTGAGAAGAGTGAACGGAGGAGCGAAAGGGGGTTGTGGAATGGAGGGTGGAAACCCTTAGCACAATGCATGCATTGCTAAAGTGGCATGCATGCCAGTTCAGATGAGTCAGCCATGCGATGTTTGGGCCAAGCACACACACACACGCACACACACACACACACACACACACACACACACACACACCTGCGCCCATCAGCACTCTCAAGACTCACCTGCGCCCATCAGCACTCTCAAGTCTCACCTGCGATCTGAACCGTCCAATGTTGCGCTCCGTTGTCACCCGTGGATGTGTGCCGGTCTGATGGCATGCGGAGTGAGTGAGGGAGGGGAGGGAGGGGAGGGAGGGGAGGGAGGGGAGGGAGGGGATTCCAAATATTACCGAACGATTTTTCCAGGAAGGGTTTTTCACCTACGTTCCTTCAGTTGCTTATGCGTTTTCCACATCTGAGATGTGCTTCAGTGAAGGCCCTATGGGGCGCATTGCAGTGCGTTGAAGGAGGGATTTGCCCCGCCTCCACTCCACAGCATGCATGCCTTGCTTGCCATTCCCCGCCCCCCTTACCTCGATCGCATACTGCTCCGCGGGCAGACCAAAGGCGTCCCACCCCATGGGGTGCAGCACGTTAAAGCCCCGCATGCGCTTGTACCGCGCCACTATGTCCGTTGCTGTGTACCCCTCGGGATGCCCCACGTGCAGCCCTGCGCCGCTGCAAAGGTAACGGGGTGGAGAGCGGTGGAGAGGGGTGTGTATGAGAAGGGAGGGGGTTGGGGGGAGAGTGGAGGGAGGAGGGGATAGGGTACCGCGCCACTATGTCCGTTGCTGTGTAGCCCTCTGGGTTCCCCACGTGCTGCCCTGCACCGCTGCAAAGGTGGAGAGGTGGAGTGGGGTGTTTGCAAGAGGGGAGGGGGTTGAGGGGAGAGGGGGAGAAAGGGTTTGCAGAAAAAAGTGATCGCAGCTGGTGTACTTAAGGGTGGGGCTTCATAGTCTGGAGACGAATTTAGAGGCGCCTCAAAATTCAACTCAATGCACGCCGGTGTAGTTAAGGGTGGGGCTTCATAGTCTGGAGACGTCTGAGAGTACTCTCAAGCCCGCATGGGGTACGGGATATGTCGAGTCTACGAGTGCAGCACCTGGGGTTGAAGAACATATCAACCTTATATGGAGTACGGGCTTCCAGAGGTCTCACATGAATAATTAAACGCACCAGGGGTACCATCATCCCACCACGGGTAGGGGACATGTCGCACCTGGGGTAGGGGGTACCTGGAGTAGGGGAACATGTCGCACCTGGGGTAGGGGGTACCTGGGGTAGGGGATATGTCGCACCTGGGGTAGGGCGCACCTGGGGTAGGGGGTACCTGGGGTAGGGGAACATGTCGAGGACGTAGTATTTGGGTTTGCTCGTGTCCACGTCATCCGGCGTGCGGAACGTCGCCTTCTCCTCCCACTGCGCCTGCCACTTCGCCTCGATCTCCGTGAACGGGTAGGCGGTCGACTGTCGGCTACCCGTCTGCGCTGGCGGCGCGCCGGCGGTTGCCGGCGCTGTTGCGGGAGCGACTGCTGTATCCACTGCCGTGCTGCTGCTGCTGCCGCTGCCGTCGCTTGCGGCGGCGGAGCAAAGAATGCGGGTGTTCCTGCTCGTGCGGCACGGCGCGGGCTGGCTTGCTACGTGGGAGAATGTGGACCGTAAAGATGACAATCGGACGGACGAGATCGAAGCAGAGGACGATTTCGGCCAGAACGGCGAAGACAACGACATACATCCGTACGGTTGCCTGAAACGGCTCGCGACTCGAGCGCATTTCGCTACGCCGTCGGAACGATTGCCTGCGGCAGGGAATGCGGTGCGAGAGCTGGTGAGAGTGCGCTGCGTGAAGGGCGCGGGAGCCATGGAGCCCGCATATCGGCGGATCAGGCCTCGGCTCGACGCGGCGGCGGGCGACGCGAGGAGTTCCCGAGGGATCGGAATGCACGGGGTCAGGAGCCCGCACGCCATGGCGGCTCGTGCGGTGCGAGGACTGCTACACCGCCGGTATATTCTGAACGACGAGGAGTAAGTGCGGCGTCGCTCACTCAGCCTGCAATGCGACTGACAGCTCGCAGCCAATTTGGTCGTAGGAGCTCCTTGTTTGTCGCATGCAGCTGTCGCTTGGGTGTTGAAAGAAAGGGAAAAGCGAGCGATGTGGTGGTGACGTGGCAAGACTCTCGGCAGCCAATTGGACGCATCTCATCCACTTCTTTAGGGTTCGGTAACTATTGTTCCGTTATATATACAAGCGATAAAAAGCGCGTTGTGGTGTAAGCCTCATTAATTCCCTAAGAACCTAACAATATATTGCTCAGCAATCAAACATTTCTCAATGGTATGGTGGAAAGTACAGGTATCACAACGGATAATCTTCAAAGCATATGTACATGCCAGCATACACTAACAGTTGGCAGTTAGCGCGGAAGGAGTTTGTTCAGCTGGGACTCGAATTCGTCCACTTTGCGGCTCAACTCCTTGCTGCCAGACACAACCAATCAAGATTCGCACAGCAAAGTCAGCAGAAAAAATGGAGAGGACATGGCAAGGGAGACGGAGATGGGGTTGAAGGCCGACGAGAAGAGTGGCAGGTGAAGAAAAACTGAAGGGAATGTCAAGGTGCAGTGGACTCACACTTGTGCAGTTAAGTGTGGCAGTTGCTGCAAATCCTCATTCATCCTGCATGCCGCACAATGAGCACTGAAGCTCATTCGTCAACATTCCTTGACACATGTAAGGCGAGGTCCAACTGGGGTGGGTGCAACCCTCCATGCATGCTCACCCCATGCATGCCCACCCTATGACTGCTCACCCCATGCATATTCACCCCATGCTCACCTCATGCACATTCACCCCATGCTCACCCCATGCACATTCACCCCATGCTCACCCCATGCACATTCACCCCATGCTCACCTCATGCACATTCACCCCATGCTCACCCCATGCGCACCTCATGCATGCATTGATGAACCTCATTCCTCTGTTAGCTGCCTCCATTGCTGCCAGAGATGGGAAGAGGTGGGATCAAAATAGTCTTGGAGTGAATGCACCAAACCGCAACCATGCCTCATGCAACGCGTTCATCTAAGCATCCATTGACCCACCCACCCAACCAAGCACGCACCTGCGCCCTGCAGCCGCGTGGCAGCATCTCGCTCCACCTCCACGTGCGCCACTGTGTTGCTCGTCACCTGCACCACACGCCGTCGTACCATTGCAACTAACAGAAGCTATTTGAAGGAGCCCGCACAAGTATGGTGATATATCCGACAAACTGATCTGAGTTAACTCAAAAAGGCATGCACACACCTCTTTGAGATGCCCTCTCAGAGCGTCCAATAGTTGCTTCACAGCGTCTGCTGCGCCCATGGCGCTTCGCTCCGCGTCGTTCAGCACCTGCTGGCGGCCGCGTGGACAGGCGGCATGTCAGTGAATGAGCTTCATCCGGATAGAATCATAACCATAGAAACTCCAGAATGGCAGGGATAGATGACTGGGGCGTTTTTTAGTCAGTTTTTGAGTCGAGAATAGTGGCTGAACCCTAGAATTATCGAGACGATAGACACAGAATAATTCGAATGGATGGCTGGGGCGTTTCGAGACGACACAGAATACACCGGGGCGCACATGTGATATGGGCGGATTGCGATCACCTCCATCATTCCAGCAGGTGATTGTAACGGAGGTGATCCTTGCACCCCGCCTGAGTGGATGCTGTCACTGCTATCCATGCCACGGTCTGCCCCAGAGGGATCAAAGCCTAACGGACGATGTGGCCTAAACGACTTCCAGAAAAAGCCCTACATGCTTCATTCGCGTTTTGCCCGCGCGCTTTGCACTTGTCTTGAATAATGGCGCCTGTCAGATGAAATGACGCCTTCCAATATCCACCATCAGTGAGGAAGGAAGGATTTTGTTGTTCACAGGTTTTAGGGGCACAATTTCCACGACAGCTGTTACATTACAAGTCGTTGCGATCTGAGCACGAAAGCCAAAACGTGGGTCGCAGACAGATGGCGTTACATCTGAGTTCCGCATCGTGCAGCATCACATCAGAGAGCCCACCAACCAGATCGCAGAGACGTGTACCCAACCTGGGCTTCGCAGAGTTAACGAAACTCACGACCGCAGAAGTCGATTTCGCAAACAGTTTCGCTGCCCCTCCTTGCGGGTCGCTGGCGACGTTCTGCGAACTCCAGAAACTCAGTCGCCCAGCATCGGCGCTTTGGGATGGGACCATGCGACGACAACGACCCATATCAAATAGCCCTTCCAGAAACTAATCGCCTAATTGTTCAAGACTGAAGTTGGTTTTCTTTGCACCACGCAGCGTTCCCGAAGCCAGTTGATATTAGGTCCTACATTAGTTGCGTGGGACCAGTGAGGAGCCTTGCCCATTAATCGTGTCCCTTCGGCGTTCCATGCGGCTTTCAAAGAACCTCGGGCCCAGCTTTTCTGTTCAAGATTGCCCACCGATTAGATTGCCCTGGCCGCTGAAGCATAACTAATTACCACATTCCCTCTTGTCCATTAGCAGTTCGCGCAGTCGCACTGGTCACCATCGCTGCGCCCATTTCTCGCGCGTCGAGTTCGTCGTTGCGCAACTGCGCGTATCAAGTCTTCTAACAAGGCCGCTAATTGAAACTTTCAACAAAGACTTTTAGCTAAGCGCGTCGTCGCAATGGCGGTCCTAACATCTCCTCCAAACAGCCTGCCGTACGTGGTGGCTTTGAACTGCATGGAGGGCTGCCACGCGCAAGCTGAGGCGCTCGCGGACCTCTGCGTCCTCGAGAATGTCGGGCTCAGCGAGGGCATGCTCGACAAGCTCGAGCGTGCTGACGTGGTGCTCGTTCATTCGCTGCATTACCTGCCGCGCGCCGCGCAGAGAAAGCTCTCCGCGTCGCAGCTGATTCTGTGCCTGGGGTCGTCCGCCGACACGCGCCCCGTCGAGTCGTCGCTCGCGGAGGAGCTCGGCCTGCGATTGGTCCACGTGGACGTGCCGCGCACGGACGAGGTCGCGGACAGCGTGATGGCGCTGATGCTCGGTCTGCTCCGTCGCACGCACGTTCTCGCAGCGCAGGTAGACCACGCCAACGCGCGCAAATGCCCCCTCTGCTCTCCATTCTCCCTCTCCTTCGTTCTCCTTACTTCACATAAGTCGCATCTTTTTATTCGCCATACCCCACTTTCCGCCGCACATCTTCCTCACCTTTCTCCCGCCTCTGCCCCCATCCACGCCCCGTCCCCGCCTCCGCTCCCTTCCCCACCCAGGGCTGCACGAGCGCGAGCTGGTTCGCGGGGTTCAAAGGCGCGTGGCAGGGCATGCGGCGGCTGCGCGGGATGGTGCTCGGGCTCGTCGGCGCCAACGCTGCTGCGCGCGCCGTCGCGCGGAGAGCCGCCGTGTTCGGCATGCGCGTCGTCTTCTGCGACCCCGAAGGGGTGAGGCGCTCGCGCTTTCGCTGGTGCGGGCGGAGCATTAGGTGGTGTGGGCGGAGCATTAGGTGGTGCGGGCGGAGCATTAGGTGGTGTGGGCGGAGCATTAGGTGGTGTGGGCGGAGCATTAGGTGGTGTGGGCGGAGCATTAGGTGGTGTGGGCGGAGCATTAGGTGGTGTGGGCGGAGCATTAGGTGGTGTGGGCGGAGCATTAGGTGGTGCGGGGAGTAGGGGGTAGTTAGTTGTAAGCACGAGATATTTGAAATTATGCAACATAAGCGCACCAAAAATTTCGCCACTTTTCGACGTGCGCCCATCCTTCCCCAACCCCTCTTCCGTCCCCCCACATTCCCCCTTACAAGCACAGGAGCTGCAGCGCTCCCCGCGGGCGGCGGCGCTGATGCGCGCGGTGGGGACGGAGCGAAGCACAGTGGAGGCCGTGCTGGCCGCCAGTGACGTGGTGTCGCTCCACGTGGCGCTCACTGATTCGACGCTCCACCTGATCAACGACGACACTGCCAAGCACTTCAAGAAAGGTCGGCACACGCACGGGCAGTGGGGGGAGGAGGGGGGGGTTTGTGAGGCCTTTAGGAGGTCCATGGGCGGACGGTGGGAGAGGGAGGTGAGGTGTGTCTATTTCTTGTACCTCTTCTCCTCCCCTCTCCCCCTTATCTCCAGTCCTCCCCCCTTCCCTATCCTTCCCTTTTTCTCACCCAGCCTGCCTGTTTTGGAGTCGACTCAAAAACTTCTACTCACCCAGCCCGCCCCTCACCCTTCCAGGCGCCATGCTAATCAACGCCAGCCACTGCTACCAGGTGAGCGATGGTGCCAACAAGAGGGCGCGCAACTGCCTTCATCCTCCCCACCTTGGCCCTTCTCCACCTCTTGGCCCTTCTCCACCTCTTGGCCCTTCTCCACCTCTTGGCCCTTCTCCACCTCTTGGCCCTTCTCCACCTCTTGGCCCTTCTCCACCTCTTGGCCCTTCTCCACCTCTTGGCCCTTCTCCACCTCTTGGCCCTTCTCCACCTCTTGGCCCTTCTCCACCTCTTGGCCCTTCTCCACCTCTTGGCCCTTCTCCACCTCTTGGTCCTTTCATCTTATCCCTGCCTCCCCACCAGGTGCCATGCTAGTCAACGTGAGCAGCTGCCACCTGGTGAGCGACAGTGCCATCAAGAGGGCGCTCAAAAGCCCCTTCTCTTCCCCCTCTTGGCCCTTCTTATTCCCGCCAGGCGCCATGCTGGTGAATGCGAGCAGCGCCCTCAGGAGTGAGCAGCGCCCAACACCAACACCCCTTCTCCCCCGCCCACCTCCTTCCCTTGGCCCTTGTCCTCCCACTTTTGGCGCTTCTTCTTCCTCCCCCCCTCCCCTCCACCAGGCGCCATGCTGGTGAATGCGAGCAGCTGCCATCTGGTGAGCGACAGCGCCATCAAGAGGGCGCTCAACAGCGGCCGCCTGGGCAGCTGTGCACTGGACGGTGTTGAGGGCAACCAGTGGCTCGAGGCGTGGGTGAGTGGCTGGAGGCGTGGGTGAGTGGCTGGAGGCGTGGGTGAGTGGCTGGAGGCGTGGGTGAGTGGCTGGAGGCATGGGTGAGTGGCTGGAGGCGTGGGTGAGTGGCTGGAGGCGTGGGTGAGTGGCTGGAGGCGTGGGTGAGTGGCTGGAGGCGTGGGTGAGTGGCTGGAGGCGTGGGTGAGTGGCTGGAGGCGTGGGTGAGTGGCTGGAGGCGTGGGTGAGTGGCTGGAGGCGTGGGTGAGTGGCTGGAGGCATGGGTGAGTGGCTGGAGGCATGGGTGAGTGGCTGGAGGCATGGGTGAGTGGCTGGAGGCATGGGTGAGATCAGGTTGTGGGTGAGTAGAGTAGTGTGATGTGGGTGTGGGTGGGTGAGTGGGGGGGTGGGGCTCTGGAGAGGTAGATTATGGGTAAGTGGGTGTGCGTGTAGTTATCTTGAGGCGCCTCAGAAGTCGTTGCAGTCCAAGCCCTTGTCCCTCTTCTGGTATGGTCAGTCCAGCTGACCGACAGTCCCTCTTTCCTCTCTAGATAGCTTCCTCGAAGACCACCATCGGGCCATCCCTCTTGTAGATAGGAAGAAAAGACCGGAGCCTCTTTCCCTCCTTCCATCTTCCTTCGCTCCTCCTCACATCGCAGGTCCGGGAGTTCCCGAACGTCCTCATCTTGCCTCGGAGCGCCGACTACAGCCAGGAGGTTTGGGAGGCGCTTCAGTCCAAGGCTGTGGCGGTGGTTCGGGCATTCCTAACCTCTGGAAAGGTGCCGGAGGAGCTGGTATTGGATGAGTCGTTCGGAGGGGTGGAGGGGGAGGAAGAGGAGGAGGAGGAGGAATCCCAATGGCAAGCGCTACACGCACTCTTCCCTTCTTCTTCTGCTGCTCGTGCTGGTGCTGCTGCAAATGGTGGTGATGGTGGTGGTGGGGTAGGGGGGAAGAAGGCAGGACGGGCAGGTTGGGGAGGGCGAGCAGAGGAGGGAAGGAGGGGTGGGGGCGATGGGAGCAAGAGTGGATCTTCTGGAGGGAAGAAGCAGGGGGGAGAGAGGAGGGGAGACACACAGGCAGATGCGCTAACAGCTTCTGTGGAGAAGGTGGGAATCCCCTCTCGCCTCCTCTCAGCTCCCTCCCACCACTCCCCTCTCACACTTTCCCTCCTTTCACTTCCCCTCCGTTCGTTCTTCCTTCTTTCCGTTGATTTGCTCCTGTCCTCTCGCCCCCATGCTTTCTCCCCTCAACTCGCTTCACTGTACCCCACCCACGTCCTTAGCTTTCACCTTTCGCTTCCCCCTCACGCCTCCCTTTCCTCTCTCTCCCCTTCCATCCTCCTCTCCCTGCGCCCAAACCAGCATCTCCCGGACTGCCCACTGCAAGACGGCATGCTGGTGGCGCTACAGCCGCTCTCCTCCACCTCCTCCTCCGCCTCCTCCTCCTCGCTCTCGCTCCCAGCAGCCTTCGCGGCAGCCTTCCCCAAGGCGCTGTTCGCCGCCAAGCGCCACCAAGGGGGGGCGTCGTGGCGGTTTGCACCGGTGGAGGGTATATCCACGCAGCACCCCAGCGTGCAGTTTGTGATTGTTTGTGACAAGGTGGGTGAGTGGGTGACTGGGTAAATGGGTGGTGGGTGGGTGAATGCTACCCTGAGTGTGAGGCAAGGTGTGTTGTCATGGCACCTTACGAGTCCTCTCTCCGGTGGAGGGGATTTTCACGCAGCACCCCAGGATGCAATTTTTTATCGTTTGTGACAAGGTGGGTGGGTGGGTGGATGGGATGGGAGTGTGGGCGGGCGGGCGGGTGGGCGTGCGGGCGAGCTCTTCACCATGCTACCACCATGCCACCATGGCACCATGCTGCCACCATGCCACGATGGCACCACCATGCCAAACCCTCCTCACGCGACCCCATCCCATACGTGACGTACAGGATCTGCTGGGGTGTCGGTCGGTGTTCGCTGGCGGCAAGTTCCTGCAAGCCACAGAAGGTGGCGAGCTGCTGCTGGTGAACGACGACTTGGATCTCGCAGAGAGCTGGTTCTTCACCGCCCTGCCCCACCCCTCCAACGGCCTCGCCCTCTCCCTCACCAACGCACTGCACTCCCACGTGAGCTCTCTTACTCACGCTCTTCTCTCCCCCTCTCCTCCTCTATCCTTCCACCTCTCTTACTGCCGCCCTCTATGCGAGCTGCTACCTCTGCAAAAGGAAAATCCTCTGCTTACTGTTTCTCAATAGTCTCTTTGAGCCCTCACTCCTGCCGCTAACACGGGGCAAAGAGACGCGCTTCAAGGCATCCCCATCAAGCACACACACACACCGCTCCTTTGCTTGCAACGTTTCTGCTGACATCATATGTTCTTGCTTGAGCCGTTCCCTTTTATTCTATGATCCCACTCACCCCCACACTCCTCCGCTACCCCATGCGCCCCTCTGTTCCTGCTGGCGAGCTCAGGTGGAACTTCAGGTGCTCGTCCACGTCTTGAGTGGAGGCTGATGATCCGAGCATAGTTACCACACACGCACACACAGAGAGAGCACACGGGCTTGAAAAGGGTTTGAAAAGAGGAGCCTTGGTCGCTGGTGCGTCAGCCGAAGCTAATGCCTGGAGGCCTGGGTCCTCCTCATCACCCGTCCACATTCCATCAATCTCTTCTCTGTCTATCAGCTCAGCAGCACTCACACTGGGATGCTGTCATCAGCTCTTCACGACAGAATTGTATTGGCGAGGTTTATTTTATTGTGTGAGTTCATCCACACTGCGCATAGCATAGGCCAAGCTAACTAGTAGAGTTGAGCTGCTTGCTTGTGTGAATGTACTATCACCACTTGTCAAGCTGTTCCAGCATCAGTGAAATTATATAGAAATGCACCTGCACATAATAACAGAAATTATACGCCTTGGTATCGGTGTCTTGGAATTTAGATGCGTGGTGTGATGTGGGGCGGCAGTGGCACTAGGTAAGGTACCGTACACTGGCTCAATCCGGGCGGCCTCTTTTTACGGTACGTTCCAGCTTCCTTGGCACTCCTTGTCTCTGCTTGTTAGGTACTTCGAGCATTCTTGAAAGACTGCCTGAAACGATTCAATAGGGGCGGGTGATGGGCTGCACGTCCCAGATCTCCTCCGCATACTCCTTGATCGTGCGGTCGCTCGTGAACCGTCCGCACCCAGCCGTGCTGCTGATGCTCATGCGCGTCCACTTGGGCACGTCCACATACGTTGCATCTATGGCAGCCTGCAAAGGGTGATGGGGCAGAGGTGGACGCCGGGAATGAGGAGGGTTGCTGGATCAGTACCCGGCCATGCTCCTGATGCTCATGCGCGTCCACTTGGCCGCGTCCACATACATTGCATCTATGGCCGCCTGGGGAGAGGGAGAAGGGAGGCAGGAAAGGGAAGGTGAAGGGGGGAGGGAGAGGAGGGTAGCCAAACCAGGCCCCAGCGGTGCTGCTGATGCTCATGTGCGTCTGCTTGGGCACGTCCACATTCGTTGCATCTATGGCCGCCTGGATAGGGTTGGGTTGGGTAGAAGAGAAACAGAGGAAGGGAGGGTGCAATGCACCCAGCAGTGCTGCTGATCCTCTGGCACATGATAAATCTACAGATGTTGCAGTGAGGGAAAGGCGGGGAGCAGGGAGTGCAAGGCAGGACGAGGAACAGGAGCAGTTGGTAAATGCACAGTGCAGGAAGGGGAGCAGAGGAGATGCACATCAGCGCTCGCAGGTAGGTGGGGAAAGGGCGCACATCAGCGCTCGCAGGTAGGTGGGGAAAGGGCGCACCTGGGCCTCCAGGTAGGTGGGGAAGGGCGCACCTGGGCCTCCAGGTAGGTGGGGAAGGGCGCACCTGGGCCTCCAGGTAGGTAAGGAAGGGGCACCTGGGCCTCCAGGTAGGTGGGGAAGGGCGCACCTGGGCCTCCAGGTAGGTGGGGAAGGGCGCACCTGGGCCTCCAGGTAGGTGGAGAAGTCGTTGGCAAGGAGGTAGTAGTCGTTGCCCGGGCCGTCAATGGAATCCATGAGAGGCGCAAAGAACTCCGTCCACCCAAAGTAGCCACTGCGGATCATGCTGTGGTGCGCGGGAGAGAGGGAGGAGAAGATGAGGAGAGGGACGGAGGGAAATATGTCGTAAAAGAAGAAACGCGAAGAGGAGGTTGAGAGGTGAGCGGTGGGGCGGGCTTCCATCGAGGAACTACAGAGAGCCAGGCAGGGAGAGCATGGAGCAATGACAGAAAGAAGCATCATGGGAGTACGCAACATACCATCACATCATCTTACCCTTTCACCATTTCACCATTGCAGCACAGCCCACGGCACAGCAAGGCAGCAGCACTCACTGGCCCCACCCACCATCCCACAATTGCACGATTTGACCATCGCACCATGCACAGAGCACAGCATGGTAGCAGGCACTCACCCGACAACGCGAGTGAAGTTGCGGCAGGGGGTGAAGGTGCGTCGCTCCTCCCTCAGCCGAGGCACGTCCTTGGTCTCAGCTCCAAACACGAACTGCAATCAGCACCATCCATCCACAAACACCGGGAAGTGCGGAGGAACATCAAAGAAGGTTGAGAGCGGGAGATATGTCGAGGAGCACAACGCGACTTTTGCTCGTACCTACAACTACGAACCAGCACAAACCACATCCTGGTGGTTTGATATCTGTGGGAAGACTATAAGGAATCATGGAAACAGCACAGAGTGGCACGATAATTAATGTACCATGTCGCACAGTCATGGCATGGCACGGCCGCACGGCCCAACATGGTGTGCAATGCAATGCAGTGCACACACAGGTTTCCCTTGAAAGGACCAGCCATGTTCCCGTGACGTGGCATGTCATTCTAGCAGACTTGACAGCTATGGCTCGCATTGCATTGCATACATGCCACAGTCTGCCAAGCTGTCATGACGGGCATGTCACCACAGCAGATCTGCATGGAAGTATGCACTATCTCCTCTCGGTTGCGCACGTACCATGTTTTCAGGGCCAATCTCCTCCCTGATCTCACGCGTGGCGCCATCCAGAGTGCCCAGAATGAGGCATCCGTTCATTGCAAACTTCATGTTGCTCGTGCCCGATGCCTCGTTGCCCGCCGTGCTGGTACAAGAGGGGAGGCATGGGCGTTCGTTAATGTGGGGGGGAACATGGAGTAAAACGATAGGACACATGAGGCACCCGTTCATTGCAAACTTCATGTTGCTCGTGCCCGATGCCTCGTTGCCCGCCGTGCTGTTATGGAGGTACGGGAGAGTTGCAGGGTGGGTGTTAGTCACCCAAAATATTGCTGCCACCTGACGTGCTGTGGGAATTAAATGACGCGATGCCTAATGCCCTGTGTTAATCACCTGACGTGATGTGGGAATCACCTGACGTGATGTGGGAATCACCTGTCGTGATGTGGGAATCACCTGACGTGCTGTGGGAATCACCTGATGTGTTGGGAGAGGTCGCTGGCAGGGATAATGAGCTCAGCAAGTGACACATTGTAGTCGGGAATGAACACCTGATGGCCGGCGGGCAGGAGGTGAGAGGGCAGGGGGTGAGAGGGCAGGGGGTGAGAGGGTAGGGGGTAAGAGGGCAGGGGGTGCGAGGGCGGAGGGTGTGAGGGTAGGGGGTGAGAGGGCAGGGGGTGAGAGGGCATGGGGGTGAGAGGGCAGAGGGTGTGAAGTGAAGGGCTGGGCACGCAGAGGCATAGCAAGCGAGGTGGCATGAACCCGCACGGCTGAGCACTCCAGCACGACTCAGCCGAACCCACCAGCTTGAGCAGGTCACCCGTTCGCCTGTCATTTTTGTTAACATCACTCACAGACAGTGATGACAAGCTTCACATTCTTACCTTGTACTTGCAAGCGCACCTTATCCCAACTCAACCCACCAGCTTGAGCAGGTCGCCCACGTCCTCGTCCTTGTTAATGACAGCGCTGATAAAATTCACAATCTACTCATGCTCCGAGACATAACAAGCCCAACCAAGCCCAACGCACCAGCTTGAGCAGGTCGCCCACGTCCTCATTGCTGTTGAGCACATTGCTGACTGCACTGATGAGCTTCACAACCCAGACGTGTTCAAAATGTGTCTCAAGCACAACCAAGCCCAACGCACCAGCTTGAGCAGGTCGCCCACGTCCTCATCATTGTTGATCACTTCGCTCACGGCGCTTCTGAGCTTCACGATCTTCTCATGTTCCTAGACGTTGCAAATCACAAACCAACTGCAAGAAAGCCCAACACACCAGCTTGAGCAGGTCGCCCATGTCCTCGTCCTTGTTGATCACCTCGCTGACACCGCTGATGAGCTTCACAGTCTTATCTTGCTCCGATACAGAACAGCAAGCACAACCAGACTCAACGCACCAGCTTGAGCAGGTCGCCCACGTCCTCGTCCTTGTTGATCACCTCGCTGACACCGCTGATGAGCTTCACAGTCTTATCTTGCTCCGATACAGAACAGCAAGCACAACCAGACTCAACGCACCAGCTTGAGCAGGTCGCCCACGTCCTCGTCCTTGTTGATCACCTCGCTGACACCGCTGATGAGCTTCACAGTCTTATCTTGCTCCGATACAGAACAGCAAGCACAACCAGACTCAACGCACCAGCTTGAGCAGGTCGCCCACGTCCTCGTCCTTGTTGATCACCTCGCTGACACCGCTGATGAGCTTCACAGTCTTATCTTGCTCCGATACAGAACAGCAAGCACAACCAGACTCAACGCACCAGCTTGAGCAGGTCGCCCACGTCCTCGTCCTTGTTGATCACCTCGCTGACACCGCTGATGAGCTTCACAGTCTTATCTTGCTCCGATACAGAACAGCAAGCACAACCAGACTCAACGCACCAGCTTGAGCAGGTCACCCACGTCCTCGTCCTTGTTGATCACCTCGCTGACACCGCTGATGAGCTTCACAGTCTTATCTTGCTCCGATACAGAACAGCAAGCACAACCAGACTCAACGCACCAGCTTGAGCAGGTCGCCCACGTCCTCGTCCTTGTTGATCACTTCGCTCACGGCGCTGATGAGCTTCACGATCTTCTTCGCCAGGTCGTATCCTGGCGCCGCCTTGCCTCCCAGCAGACACACGCGCGGCACCACGCGCTTGCGCTCCTCGGGACTCATCTTCTGCTCCACCCAAGGTGAGAGAGGAGAAAGGGAAAGAGTGGGGCGCAGAGGAAAGGAAAGGTTGAGATTCGAGAAAGCTGTGTGGCCGCCCAGCAGACACACACACACACACACGTGGCATCACCCACTTGCAATCCTTGTGACTCATCTTCTGCTCCAATATGCCAATATTTTTCAGATCATGAAGGGACTGGATGGTGTTGATGCAGTCGTAATGGTGGATGATGCCCATCACATTCAGCAGGTGGCGCTTGTACTCGTGGATTCTTTTGAATCGACTCAAGAACCAACCAGGCTGAGCCTATACTCTCAATTCGCCAGGGGACTGACCTTGATGCAGTCGTAGCGGTGGATGATGCCCATCACGTTGAGCAGCTGCCGCTTGTACTCGTGAATGCGCTTCACCTGCACGTCAAACATGGCGTCGATGCTCACCTGCAGCAGCATGGGGTGTGGGTGGGGAAGCACGGGAATGGAACACGCAGGGAAAGGAGGTGAGCACAGAGAGAGATTTCTGAGTCGAATGAATACTCCCCTTGTACTTGCGGATGCGCCTGCACGTCAAACATAGCGTCGATGCTCATCTGCAGCATGGGAGTGGGAGAACCCCAGGAATGGAACACGGGGGAATAGGGAGAGGCGAAGAGATGGAGTACGAGAGGAGGCTGATGACTTCCAAGTCGGACTATATGCAGCATACAGCACATGGGGAAGAAGACAAGGAGCACGCAAGGGAGGGAAAAGTAAAGGCAGGAGGATTGAGTCAAGCACATACAGGCTCAGGTCTTTTTGCGTATGCGCTTGACTCGTGCATTAACCCTCAGCTCTTGACTTCACTTTGTGACCACTACATCAACCCTCAGCTCTTGACTTCACTTTGTGACCACTACATCAACCCTCACCTCTTGACTTCACTTTGTGTCCACTGCATCAACCCTCACCTCTTGACTTCACTTTGTGTCCACTGCATCAACCCTCACCTCTTGACTTCACTTTGTGTCCACTGCATCAACCCTCACCTCTTGACTTCACTTTGTGTCCACTGCATCAACCCTCACCTCTTGACTTCACTTTGTGTCCACTCCATCAACCCTCACCTCTTGAACACATCTGGACAACTGGCAATAATCAAGGCTGAACTGGGAGGGGCTGAAAGAATGCAGCGGCGGGCCGGCCAAACAGGCAGGAAAATCTCTAGGACTGAAGGACAGAAACGGCAGGAGAAGGAATGAGAAGACGACTACTAGTCAGCTGATGTCTTAGAGTCAGCTCACCTTGATCCCTGAAATCCCCTCGATGTATGCAGCCAGGCGAGCTTTGTTCTGCCTACGAACCTGGAGATTCAGAGCGCACGTATACATACATACACGCAGGTACGTGCACAAAGACAGACGTAGACATGCACGTGCATGCATGCCCATGCACACACCAACAGACATACACACACCACATGCGTGCATGCACATGCTCACAACAACATACCCACACGGCAATACACCAGAACACATACAGAACAGGTATGCACGCAGAAGCACAGATGCACCAGATCGCACGTCAGAATATGAAACAAAGTGTGTGCACACAAACGAAAAAGATCAGAGCAAGTCCAATCTTCGACATTTATTTAGGTGGGAAATCAATTTTGATAACACAATCACAGTCCCCCAGCAGCCCCAGCCCCACAGCAGCCCCAGCCCCACAGCAGTCCCAGCCCCACAGCAGCCCCAGCCCCACAGCAGCCCCAGCCCCACAGCAGCCCCACCTGCATCCACTGTGTCTGCAGCAGCGGGTCATCAACATGCTCCTTGAGCCCAGCCACGAGGTCCAGGTTCGTGATCCATGACTCTGTGCCCAGCCACTGGGTCAGGATCGCCGCCAGCCCCGGGTTGCAGAATGCCAGCCAGCGACGCTGATAGGGGGGGGAGGGGGTTTGGGAGAAGAGAGCGCAGCAGAGTGGGACAAGTGGGAAAGTTGGTCTGAATGGGTCAGGATCGCCGCCAGCCCCAGGTTGCAGAACGCCAGCCAGCGACGCTGATGGGGGGGGAGGGGGTTTGGGAGAAGAGAGCGCGGCAGAGTGGGATAAGGGGAGTAAGTGGGAAAATAGGTCAACCACTGGCTGGGTGAGAATCGCCGCCAACCCCGGGTTGCAGAATGCCAGCCAGCGACGCTGATGGGGGTGGCGGGGGGTGGGATAGCGGGGTGGTCACTTGGTCAGCAAGAAGCGCTGACAATGGTGGGAGAGTATGGCAAATAAGATTGGCATGGAAACGTGTTGAAGGAGGCAGGATCTGGAGCAGCGTGGCTCACCTGGGTGACACCGTTTGTCTTGTTCTGGAACTTGTGTGGCCAGATGTCATAGAAGTCCTGCAAGCGGGCGGCGAGGACCAAGGGTTGAAAAAGACAGGGTTGAGACGTGCACCCACACACCCACAAGTGCTCTTCAACAAACCTGACTCTTCTGTCCCCAGCACATGCATCACAACACATCAACACGAATACACGTTCAAGAGCAAGCTTGCGTAGTTGCGTGGCCTCCATCCAGGGACCAAGCTGACTTTTGAGTCGACTAAAAAAACGAGCAGGCTTGCGTGGTTGCATGGTATACATCTAGCAACCAAGCTCTCTGCTTTCCTTCCCTCCTCTCTGCCTGATTTCCCTCCTCGCTGCTGTCTTTCCCTCTTCTCTGCTCTCACTCCCTCATCTCTGCTCACTTTCCATCCTCTCCGCTCTCTCCTTTCATCCTCTCTGCAATTTTGTTGAGTGTGTTTTGAATGAGGTCACTTTGAAAAGCTTGCTTTCAATAAGGTCACCTTGAAGAGCGTGTTTTCAATGAGGTCTGTGTGGATCTGAGACACGCCGTTGATGGTATGACACGTCACCACCGCCAGCGTTGCCATGCGGATACTCTGACAAGAATGGGAGGAGAGGGAGAAAGAAAGGTGAAGGGCGACAGGGCTGGGGGGACGGACAGAAGTGTAGGAACGGTAACCTAACACACTCTTCCCAACTTGTGCATGCCTCACACTCTTCCCAACTTGTGCATGCCTCACACTCTCTCCCAAACTTGTGCATGCATCCCATTCATGCAGATTTTGTGCGCCCTTCCCACCTTGTGCGCACCCTCCCCACATTATCCACACTCTCCCATTACCCACAGGATGCGCCCTCTTCCACATCCCCCAACTCGTGCGCCCTTTCCGCCCACTCCTCCACCTTCCACGCCCTCTTTCCCCGTGCCCCGTCTTGTGCGCCCTCTCCCCTCCCTCCCCCCAACTTGTTCGCCCTGCTCCCTCTCCCATTCCCCACTATGTGTGCACCCTTCCCTCCACATTGTGCAACCTCCCCCACCTTGTGTGCAATCTCACTTCCTTTCCCACCCCCCCACCTTGTGCGCGTCCTCCCTTCCCTTTCATCCCCCCCCACCTTGTGCGCGCCCTCCCTTCCCTTCCATCCCCCCCCACCTTGTACGCACACATCCCCCAATCCTTGTGCGCAATCTCACTTCCTTTCCCAACCCCCCACCTTGTGCGCGCCCTTCCTTCCCTTCCATTCCCCCCCACCTTGTACACACTCCCCCCTCCCTCACCTTGTGCGCGCCCTCCCTTCCCTTCCATTCCCCCCACCTTGTACACACTCCCCCCTCCCCCACCTTGTGCGCGCCCTCTTCAATGATGGACATGCGGGAGAGGCGGTCGTAATCGTTGCCGATGCGCTTCTTCAGGTCCACAATGAAGTTGTGGTTGATGTCATAGATGAGCTGATGACACGGGGAGGGGAAGAGGGTGGGAAAGGGCTGGGGACTGAGGAGGGCAGAAGGCAGTGAAGCAGGAAAGAAACAGTCGTAGTCATTGCCGATCTGCTTCTTCAGATCCAAATTGAAGTTGTGGTTGATGTCGTAGATGAGCTGATGACACGGGGAGGGGAAGAGGGTGGGAAAAGGGCTGGGGAGTGAGGAGGGCAGATGGCAGTGAAGCAGGAAAGAAACAGTCGTAGTCATTGCCGATCTGCTTCTTCAGATCCACATTGAAGTTGTGATTGATGTCGTAGATGAGCTGATGACACGGGGAGGGGAAGAGGGTGGGAAAAGGGCTGGGGACTGAGGAGGGCAGATGGCAGTGAAGCAGGAAAGAAACAGTCGTAGTCATTGCCGATCTGCTTCTTCAGATCCACATTGAAGTTGTGGTTGATGTCGTAGATGAGCTGATGACACGGGGAGGGGAAGAGGGTGGGAAAAGGGCTGGGGAGTGAGGAGGGCAGATGGCAGTGAAGCAGGAAAGAAACTGTCATAGTCATTGCCGATGCGCTTCTTCAGTTCCACATTAAAGTTGTGGCTGATGTCGTAAATCAGCTGCCAAGGGGAAGAAAGTGTGCAATAAGACGCGGAGTTGGAACGTCTCTCATCTACCAGAAAGAAGTGATGGTCAGAGGAGGATCTTATTTGAGGCGCTTCAAAAGACTGACCTCCAGGCGCTGCCACAGCAGCAGCAGCGCCTCAGAGGTCTTTACGAGCGATATTCTAAGTCCCAAACGACTGACCTCCAGGTGGCGCGGCAGCAGAGTCTCGAGAATCTCCACAGGCCACTTCTCCAGCGCTTCCGGCAGCACCGTATGATTGGTGTAGGAGAAGGTGTGCGTGGTGATGTTCCACGCGTACCCCCACTCCAGCCCCTCCTGGTCCACCAGCAGGCGCATGAGCTCCACCAGCGCCAGCACTGGGTGCGTGTCGTTCAGCTGCAGCGCCACCTTGTCCTTGAACTCATCGAACGTGGAGTGCTCCTCCTTGTAGCGGCGCACGACGTCTTGCATGGTGGCGGAGACGAAGAAGTGCTGCTGCTTGAGGCGCAGCTCCTTGCCCTGGTACGTGCGGTCGTCCGGGTACAGCACGCTGCTGATGGCCTCCGCCTTCTGCTTGCTCAGAATCGCGTTCACGTAGTCCCCCGTGTTGAAGCTTTGCTGGGGAGCATTGTGGAGCGCATTGAAGAGTGGAATGGGGGGTCGGGTGGGTGAAGTGGAAGGGAAAGAAAGGGCTGTATCAGGAAGATTGAAGGAATTGTGGGAAAAAAGGAGGGAGGGAGGGGGGGACGTCAGAAAGTGTGCTGGAAGAGTAAGATTGCGACACGCGAATTCCTCTCATATCGTACTGACCAGGTCGAACTCGCCACTGGGCTTCGCGCCCCACAAGCGCAGGTTGATGGTGTTGTTGGTGTGGTAGCCGGGGATAGGATTGTCATATGCCACTGCCTCCACCTGGTGAAGAAGGAGTGAACACAAGGGGCCGTTAAAGGAAGTGGATTAGCGAACGGGACGAGTAAAAAACATGGCAAAAGCAGAAAACAACAGACAATTATAATAACCATGGCTTAACTTCAGAATTATGACCAGGGGGGGAGGAGGGGGTGGGGAGAACAAGGGCAGGAGGAAGGAGGGAGAAAGAAAGAAAGAGGACGGGAAGGAGGAGCTGACCGTTTCGCCCTCGACCCATCGCTTGCGGGGGTAGCCGGCCTCGGTGTAGGACTCAACGGTGCCGTAGAAGCGCACGGGGTATGTCACAAACACGCGCTCTATCTCCCACGGGTTGCCAAACGTCAGCCAGTAGTCCGGCTGCTCGTGCTGGAAGCCGTCCTGTAGAGTCTGCCGGAACATGCCGTACTGGTAGCGGATGCCGTAGCTGAGGGGAAAATGGAATAGATGAGGGGAGGGGAAGGGAAAGAGTGTTAGGAACAAAACTGGGTGGCCTGAGGTGGCTCCAAGCCGTCCAGCAGGGTCTGCCAGAACCTGCCATACTGGTAGCGGATGACGTAGCTGGGAAGGAGGGAGGGAGAGACGGGCAGAATGGGGAAGGGTTGGGAAACTGCGGAAGATGGACACGAGATTGAGAAAGTTGTTGGGGGAATGAGAGCATGATGATACGAGGCAGCGCATCCGCATACCAGTGTCTTTAACGAGGATAACCCAAACACAACAGCAGATGGGTTTCAAACAAGTGTTCCTCTCTCTAAACAGCTCACAGCGCATCTGACGGGTTGGTTGCTTACCCCCATCCCGGGTAGTTGAGCGTCGCCATGCTGTCGAGCACGCAGGCTGCCAGGCTGAAACACACAAGCAAGCAAGAAGCAGATCAAACGCGTCTTATGACACGAACAAGCAAATGCAATGTGGCAGGCGAGCTGATTGACTTTAGCCGGTTAGACATGAGGAGATACCAGTAAGAGAAACTGTATCCTGCACCGTGATTTCTTGCGAAATGGGAGAAGCAGCATGTACACTACCAAAACAAGTCGAATGTACAATATCTTTTGTGTCAATAACAGCAGTAGCGGCAGGGAAGGACTGACCGGCCAAGGCCACCGTTGCCAAGAGCAGCATCCCTCTCCTGCTCCGCCAGCACCTCGAGCTTGTAGCCCAGCTGCCCCAGCGCCTCCACATACTGGTCCTTCATTCCCAGGTTGAATATGCTGTTCAACAGCGACCGCCCTGCAACAGGTGAAGAGGTGAGGTGAACAGGAGCCCGATGGCAAGGAGGACAGGCAGAGACGTGGATGGTGAGCCTTGCAATGCAAACACTGCTGATCGCTGACGGAGTTGCACCATTGATGGTAAGAACAACAGCTCCTTCAAAGTGGACATGTTGAGGAATCACCCATGGGGAACTCCATGGTGAGGTATTAGACACGGTTAAAGTCCTGGTCTCTGTTGGCATCCTATGATGCCTTGCGAAGAGCCATCGCCATGGTACCTCAACCTCAGCCTGTGTGTACCCATCAGGAACTCCAAGGAGAGATAGTAGACGTGCTTGGAAGTCCCGGTTTGTGTCTATATGCCATGATGCCTTGGGAACAGCCATGGCTATGGTACCTCAACCTCAGTCGTGCATACCCATGAGGAACTCCATGGAGAGGTAGTAGACGCGCTTGGAGTCCTGGTCCTTAAAGTACTGCTGTGTGTCGTTCCAGCTCTCAATCAGCCGGTCCCTCACGCTGTACGCTGTCGCCTGGGACACAACAACACAGAGAGAGACAGAATAGTAAACTTGTGTTCTCAGAATTACGCTTGTAAAAATACGAATACAAGGTCAAAACCCAACATTTCTTACCGCCTTTGCTTGCTAAGAAAGAGGGGTGAGAACGAAGAGCGAATAGAAATTGGTTTTTAACAGAAACAGATCCAGCGTTCCACGCGCTCACCTGGTACGCCTCGAAGTCGTCGAATTTGTATCTGCTGCGCGCCATGGTGTACTCCACGTGGTCCACAATGCTCCGCTGGATGGACAGCACGTCGTTCTTGATGTACGTGTCCATCAGGTTGTGCAGCAGCTCCGTACGCCGTTTCATCTCCGGCGAAGCCGACGGGTCCAGCGTTGTAACCGGCCTAATAAGTCTCGCCGGCCGGACCGGAGCATCTTTCGGCGAGTCACCCTTGGCGTCTAGAACCAGAGCTCTCACCACGCACTTGCGGATGTTCTGCAGATCGCGTTTCTGGGTGATTTTTTTTCCGTCGACGGCCGTGACGTAAAACGCGTCGGCCACGTTACCGTCATCATCAAGATCGACGACGGCCTTGCCGACGTCCAGGCCGAGATCACGAAACGTTAGCGTTAGAAGCTGGAGCAGTCCAGGTCTATTCTGCGCGCTGACGGTGATAATAGTGTAGTTCTCGCTGCTCTCGTTGTCCACGGAAACGACGGGCTCGCCGGGAGCTGGGGTTGACGAGAAAACTTTGCTGAAATCCAGCAACAGAGAAATCTCGCCGTCCGCGCGAGCTCGAACCTGGACTCCGCGGCTCTTACGGGAATTCCCATCTCGGTCAGTGTTAATCTTTCGACCCGATGCAGTAGAACGGCGGAGGTTAGGAGGAACCTTCACTGCGAGCTTGGGGTGAGAGATTCCGACCCCGAGAAAGCTACTGGCAGCGCGAAGAGAGCCTGCCATGGTTCCCAAAACCGTGCGAATGTCTTAAATTCTCGACTATCGGCAAGATACACTTGAAGCGAACAAGTTTAAGCGTTGCCGCGTGTAATACTCGCGGCAAGACACCTGAGAGCCGAAGCAGCACAGGCGTCAGTCAGCCGACTGAGGTATGTAGGGTGGGAGTCGGGACGAGATCAAGATAGAAGAGAGGTGAGGAGAGATGGGAGATGAGAAACCTCTAGGCTGTCTGGTTGAACTCAGGATCAACACAAATGGAGAACAGTGGGATCATGAACCTTGGAGTTGCCCCATTGGAGACTGCCAAACACCTCGGGAATTGCGCAAGTGACACTGTACAATTTTTGGTGGGATCCAATTCGTGACGTTTGAAGATGCCTGAAACGAGGACATAGCGCACTGGACGAGTTGCCGACAGACAGGTCAGTCAGTCTACCCTGATTGGCTTCTTTTCCTCTTGTTTTGGGGCCGCCGTTGACGAGGATCTGATCTGTCCCCGAGCATTGCCTTTTCTCGTTAAAGGGTAAGAAGTCACAAGTTTTAGTGAGGTTCGTAATCTGTGGCCAGGAATATGGTACAAATGTTTCATGGAGGCACAGTGCCACAACTGCGTACTCTTGCATTGTCTAACATTACTGAGTGTGACCCACATATTGATGAATAAGAACATTGATACACTTGCCTACCACTACATTCACATCCACAGCCATCTATGGTTGCTAAAATTTCCTAGACTTGTCATCTCTCATACACCACTTTCAGCTTTGATGTCAGCGTATCCATTGAAGGTCGTGTCTCCCACTTCCCTGCAACTGCATACTTCACCAAGGTTAACGCCATAAGTGCATCTTTTTTTGTCCACTGCCCGGCCAGGGTCTGGTCCATCACTTTGTCTGCTTCGGGCAGCTCAGCCCCCGTGGCAAGGGTCATTCGCAAGGCCTCAAAGTTTTTGTCAGTGACCAGCATGCCTGTTACAAGTTCGAGGAGAAATATCCCAAACGCATAAGTGTCGCACTTGGCATTCAGATGACCTGCACCAGGCACAAGGGAAAGCATTCCACAAACAACCACCGGGAAGTAACAGAAAGAGAAGGAACGAGAGAACTCAGAAAGAACAATGACAGCCAATCTTGCTTCACTGGTACAACCACTAGGACCAGTCACACCAGCATTGCCGATTCAAAAAGAGAGACACAGCACAGCAGGGAGAAAGAGTTGTCGGCGCACCAGACTCAAAGTAGACAGGGTCAATGTAACCCGTGGAGCCCATAACCTGCGTGGTGACGTGGCTCTTGAGTGGACTCAAAAGGCGCATCAAAAGAAGGAGGTGAAGAGGGCTGTGGGCGTACCAGATTCAAAGTAGACGGGGTCGATGTAACCCGTGGAGCCCATGACCCGCGTGGTGACGTGGCTCTGCCAGTTGTTCACCGTGCGTGCCAAGCCAAAGTCCGCCAGCACTGGCGTCAGGTCCTGGAGGAGCCATGCCGGGTGGATGCATAGGAGAGCCAGGGGATTTTTGAGTTGACCCAAAAAGATTTAAAACTTAGGTTAGGGTTTAGGGTGGTTTGAGTTTCCTAAAAAAGGGGGCCCCCAAGCCAAAATTTGCCGACACTGGCATCGGGTCCTGGAGGAGGCACGCCAGGCGGATGCAGAGGAGAGGCAGGGCATCTTTGAGTTTACCCAAACATATTTAGAATTCAACCTCGAATTTTGTGTTGACTCGGCGCCCCAAGCCAAAATCCGCCAGCACTAGCGTCAGGTCCTGGACGAGCCGGGACACTTAGATGCAGGGAGAGACAAGAGATCAAGAGCAGATGGGTTTGGACTGGAGCAGCTTGCATGAGACAGGGGCTGGTTGGTGTGCATACAGATGCATCCCCGCATGCATGCTGAAGAAGCATGAATGCATGCATGTGTACTTGAACATGCATGCAGAGCAGAGACACACAGTGTTATCACCACCAGCATCAGAATCACGCCAGGCCTTGAAGGCGCGGTGCACGTAGAAGTGGCTGTGCATTACCTGCAGAGCCTGCGCTTTGCTCTTTGAGTAGCCTTTTTTTTCAACTCCCCCAAGCACAGGGCCCACAGCAACACACACGCAGAGCAGCACACCTCACGCAGCAGCACGTTGGAGGCCTTGAAGTTGCGGCGCACGTAGTTGTGGCTGTGCATCACCTGCAGCGCCTGCTCTGTGCTCTTTGACAGACCTCTCTCTCGCCCCCCCCCCCACAACTCACACAGAATGGGGCCCACAGCAGCACACCCACAGTGCAAGAACAATACACAGAACAGAGCACCTCTCAAACCAGCACACCTCGCGCAGCAGCACGTTGGAGGCCTTGAAGTCGCGGTGCACGTAGTTGTGGCTGTGCATCACCTGCAGCGCCTCCGCACACATCAGAGCCACCCGCAGCCGCGCCTTCCAGGAAAACTCCACCTTGCCTTGCACCGCTGATGGCCATTGGATGGGGGGAAGGGGGGGGGTTGGGGTGTGCGCGGGGAGGAAGGGCAGGGTGGAGGGGAATGCGCTGACGGCCATTGCATGAGGGGAGGGAGGGGGGTTGGGGTGTGCGCGGGGAGGAAGGGGAGGGTTGGTTGAGGGGGAGGACATCCATCGGAACGCCCCTTGGCATTGCACTGTAAATAACTGGACAATAGGACGGATTAAAAAGGAAGTGGAGTGGAAGGTGAGGGGGAGTGGGGGAGGAGGGATGGGGGGGAGGGAGGGGGAGGAGGGGGGGGGGGAGGAGGGAGGGGAAGAGAAAGGTGACAAGATTATAGTTCAAATTGCCTTTCACACATGTCACTACATCCAGGTTCATGCACATGCACGTCCGGTCCCCACACAATAACGCTCTCAAAGGAATTCCTCGAAATATAGTGCTGTTACGCAAGGGCAGGAAAAACACACACCCCCTGTTGCATCGGGAAGCTGGTATACCTTTTCTGAGGTACGCCTCGGCATTGCCGTTGGTGATAAACTCGTAGATGAGGGCGGGCGTGGGCTTGGCCACAAATCCGTACAGCGACAGTATGGTGGGATGCTTCAGCTGCTCCATTGCCATCAACTCCGCCTGATGGAATGAAGGGGGAACGAGTGGGGGTGGGCAACGAGGCAGACGGCCATGGGCATACAGCGACGGGATGGTGGGATGCTTCAGCTGCTCCATTGCCATCAACTCCGCCTGATGGACGGGCAGAGGGAGGGAATAAGAGGGATTTGCGGGAGTGTGATGTGAACGCGGGGCAGGGGGTGTTTGTGGTGGGAAGAAGGTGGCAGGAGGGGAGTATGATTAGGGGATGAAGGAGGGCAATAGCTGTCCGTACAGAAACAGGATGTTGGGGTGAAACAGCTGCTTCCTTACAAAATGGGTGGACAAGCGGACATAGGGAGTGTGGGGGAGGTGAGGCGAGGCGGTTAGAAGTCAGTACAGGAGAGCAACGAAGGGGGGCCTGTGGAGTAGCACTGTGGCACAAGGCTGCCGTGCGACAGCTGCAATATCAGCATCTGCTGCTCCGCCTGTGATCCTCCCCCTCTTTTCCCTATTCTCCTCCCCTTCCCCTACTCTTCCCCTCTCCCCTGCCCTGTCAGAGCCCACCCTTGCTCTTTTCACGCAAAGCGTCAATTACGCCTGTTCCCTCTCATCCCAACGCTCCCATCAACCCCAACGTCCCCACCGCTCCCACCTTCTTTCTACCCACGCACCTTTCCCCTCCAACCACTTACCACCAATGCGGAGTCTACCCACGAAAGCGTGCTTGCATGGAAAAAAGAAACTGGCTGATCTCAAACCACACGGACACATGAAATTGCTCAACGTCTTTTGTGTGCTACAAGCCTCAACACACATCTCCATCCACCAAGCCTGCTCACTTACAAGGCACTCATCGATCTCGAGACACAAACCCCACTCGCATGGAACTGCTCGTCGGCCTTGAGCTCCACTCCACATCCTCGTTATCCAACACCTTCACCGCCACTGCCTGTGAGGAGGAGTCTATTTTTAAGGCGCCTCAGAAATACAAACCCCACTCACATGGAACTGCTCGTCAGCCTTGAGCTCCACATCCTGGTTATCCAACACCTTCACCTCCTGTGAGTGAGGAGCCTATTTGTTTTTGGGGCGCCTCAAAGATACAAACCCTACTCACGTGGAACTGCTCGTCGTCTTTAAGCTCCACATCCTCGTTATCCAGCACTTTCACCGCCACTGCCACCAGAACCTGATCCACCGCTGCCGCGCCTCCTCCTCCCCCATCCGCTCCACCACCCCCTCCATCACCACCAGCTGCTGCTGCTGCAGCAACTGCTGCGGGGTCCTGCAGGTACCCCTTGTACACGACCCCGAAGCCCCCCTGGCCGATGGGCTTCTTGAGCTTGTCGGTCATCAGCATCATCTCATCGTATGTGTATTCTGGAAATCCCGCCCCCACTGGCTTCTTCACCGGGTAGTTTGACGTCTCTGGAGGAACGGGGAGTGGGAAAGAAATGGGGGTCAAGAGGGGCAAGACGAGGGGGGTAGAGGGGAAGGTGAGTGAAGGGAGGGTAGAACTGGGGGTCCTGCAGGTACCCCTTGTACATAACGCCGAACCCCCCCTGGCCGATGGGCTTCTTGAGCTTATCGGTCATCGCATCAGCATCATCTCATCGTATGTGTACTCCGGGAATCCCGCCCCCACTGCCTTCTTCTCCAGGCAACGAGGGGATGAAGGAGCACAGGGAAGGGGTGGTGACGACACGCAGCACAAACGCAATGCGTGACGCGGAATGTGCGAGCGAAGAAGTCGGTTCAAGAGAAAGAAACTTTTTGACTTGAACCAACTCAGCAGGACACACGCGATCCGAGCTCCTCACTGTACGTACTCGCATCGCTGCTGGGTTGCGACAAGCAACCCCCCATGGGGAGAGCCGCCTGGAGTCCCTTCGCGCTGACTCGCCTCCTCGAAGCTTCGAGGACTGCTGCTTGGAGGCCCTTCGCTTTGAGACGCCTCCTCGAAACTTCGAAGAATGCTACCTGGAGGGCCTCCGCTTTAAGATGCCTCCTTTAACTACGAAGAGTGCTGAATGCACGCACGCACGCCGCCGCGTCGAACAAACGACAAAGCCGGCTATCCCTGATGCCAGCAACTGTACTGTTTTCTCGGTTTGCGGCGCTTCGAAATGGAGCGGTGGTTTCTACGTCAGCTACAAAGTATAGGCAGGCTCTCGTGGAGAAAACACGGAGAAACTTCCCACTCGCTGCGAAACGGAGGTCGACTACGTGTACCATTCATAGAACGTGAGACTGCTGCATTTTCCCTAACGCCACAAACCTACTGTCATAGAACTGCAAGCAATGTGCCTGCTCATGCGAAGCATGTTAACCTTGAGATAACCAAGCGGTGTGCTCAACGGCAAAGGACGCGATGCCGTTGTCCGCGCCGAACGCGCCGTAAGAATCACGAATAAAGGGATAAATAGGACGAAAAGTGGGAAAGACGGTCCATGATTGATGGGCTGGTGGTGACCTGGTCTGCTTGTAACTTGGCGGATACTATCAAGGTTTTGCCTACACGCAGCTAACCGTATATAGAGCGGTTAGGTAGGGTTTCGAGCTTTGATGAGAATGAGCTCGTCTCGCACAGACCGCACTGTGGTTGACGAGGCAAAGTGGGGTTGGATTGAAGGATGATCTCGGGGTTGACTGGAACAACACTTTGCATAACTGTTAGGAAAAATGAGTAAAGAAGCAAACACTATATTCCTCATAAACGAAACCACAACTCAATATGTGATCAGCATTGGCAATCAAGATGATCCATTTTCTTGAGATTCGTGGTCATTTTTAGGCTCATCATTAGGTATCGGTGCTGGTAGTTTGATTGCCACTTTCAGTACTTCCAAAACCTCCTCCATGGTTGGACGATCAGCCCAGTCCCTGGCTGTCGACTGCTTGGCAATTATCGCGATGGCGCTCGCTTCTGTCTTGTTTGCTTCATTGATGATTGCAAGGTCCATCATATCCGCAGCGGTGGGAGCATCCACCTCGTATAACCACGCCTTAATGTCTTCCGCAAAACCTTCCCGAAGAACCGACTTGCCCGCGAGAATCTCAACCATGAACAGACCGAAAGCGAACACGTCACTCTTGTCACACAAGTGACCTGATATGGATACAAGGACAGACAAGCATAAAGCACATCAATGCACAGGGGCATGAGATGAAAAACAAGGGGAGCCACATGCATTTACGCAGGCAGTTTAACCAAGATGCATAGAGTGGAGCCACATGCATTAATTAATACAGGGAAAGTTAAAAACCTGTGAGGCCAATTCAGCTGTGTGTCAGCGACTCCAACTCACCTGACTCAAAGTAAGTGGGATCAATGTACCCCATGGAGCCCATGACTCGTGTTGTGACATGCGTTTTCCAGTCCTCTATGCCCTTGGCCAGACCAAAGTCAGCCACCTTCGGTGTGAAGTCCTGTGATAAGATACGAGGGGAACAAGGGAAAACGGAGAGGAGGGAGCACGGCTGGGGAAGGACTGATAAGGCAGTGGCATGGACAAATAGATGAGAGGGCAAACTGCAGAAGCAACAACACCCGAACGGTGGCTGATGAGCTAGCAACAACTACATGTCATTGTAGCCAACATCACTGATTATACCCTGTCGTGTTGAGTGAGGGAGGGTGATGCAGGGGGGAAAAACGAGGGCAAGAATGCTTACTTCCGTTAAAAGCACGTTGCTGGACTTGAAGTCCCGGTGAATGAACCGTTGCTTGTGAATGAACGTCAGCGCCTCTGCTGTTCCCATAATCACTTTCATCCGGTCAGCCCAGGGAAATTTTGCCTTGCCTTCAGAACCTGTGCCGGAGAGAGGGAACCATGAAAGGGTGGAAGCAAGGCAAAGATGTGACGGTTGCATGTCAGTGTTTCAGCATGCTACTCTGGAAGCTTCTGCAGTGGTAGACCACGATACATTAGAACTATCCAACACTCTGTCTAACCCATACCTGCCTTGTGTGCAAGCAGCTCATGCTCCAAAATTTGGCTTCCCTCCAACCCAAAAACGCTTATACCACGATGCTCATAGAAACTATCTAACACTCCATCTGGCACATAATCCCATTGCGTGCAAGCAGCTCATGCTCCACAATTTGACTTCCTTTCTTCCCAAAAACACCTTTATCAAGAACGTACGCACATTTTGCAAGCCATGCATCTACATCGCCCATGGGGATGAACTCGTACACCAGCGCCTTGACCTTCTCCGTGCAGCACGCCAGCAATCTCACAATGTTGCGGTGTTGCACGCCCTCCACTGTAGTGATCTCGTTCTGTGTCGGGTATGGAAGGAGACACGCAGTATTGAGAGACGAACCAGATGAACACACACTCCATGTAGCTTTCGGACACAATATTTATGCAGTGTGCAAGCCTCACATTTTAAGCTGAACACATTATCCATGTAACGTGCAAGCCCTGACTCAGAAACTGAAGACATAATCCATGTAGCCTCTAAGCCCCACACCACTAACTGAACACATTATTCTTGTCGCCGGCAAAACCCCATTTCATAACTAAACACATCACCCATGAAGCCTGCAAGCCCCAGGCTACCTCCCCTTCCCCTGCTTTCCAGCGCTCAACCTTCCAGGCGCTAATCCTTCTACCATTTAAAGCTTAAGAGCCACTCACCAGAAATTCGTCCATCCCTTGGAAACTGTGCGGAGCCAAAACCTTGACCGCAACGAAAGTCGTTTCCTCATCAGCGTCCCCGTTAACGCCGCGCAACCGGCCCTTATACACCTTTCCGAACCCTCCTTCACCGAGGACGTTGGCAAAATTGTCCGTGGCTCGCTTGATGTCTTCATAAGTAAGGAATTTCACAGACGACTCATTACCGTCTTCGCCTGATTTCGCATTTGAGAGAGAAGGTAGTTGCCTGGAGTCTGCAACAAAACCGCAGCGCGAGTGGACACAAAACGGGGGGATGGCGCTTGTGAATTATACAATGAGTTTCTTAACTCAAGCATTTCCACTTTGAAAGTGACGTCATGGAGTTTGGAACAACAAGGGATACGATGAAAGAAACTAGCACGCAAGTTCAAGGTTAATCCGAATGACTCACTTCGTGATATTGGGATGCTATTCCCGCTTGTTTTTGAGTTGAAACAACCCATTCCGAAAAAAAGGGCGAACTGGATAGCAATATCCAAAATAACTACTATCTTATCAACACGTAAGTCGCGCAACGCCCAGCATTGCAATGCACACGGCCAGGAACGGTGGTTCGGTTCGCCTTTGATTGGCACCTAAAGCTACTCAGTACCAGGAACAGAATGACACTAAAAGACGAAAAGGTGCAGCATTTTCGAGTAAAAAGCCACTCTTTGTCCCATTGCGTAACCTGAGAATTATGGCCTCCCAGCACCTGAGTAGCACGATCGGTCCGCGAGACTAATTTACTAGTTACAGTGAAACCTAAAGACGAAGAGATACGTTCGGCGCGTGTCACGTCCGCAGCTTCCTAGAAAGGAACGCCGCAAAAGCCGTCGGACAAGCAGGGTTGCCGTGCTGAACCACTGTGCTACGGTAGATAGACTCTACTCTTTTTGTCTCCTAACCTAGAACCGACGTGTTCAGCCGTGCGAAGGTTCCAGTAATCACATGCCTGTCTCCAACAACCAGCAGGCCGTCAACTTGGGAATTGCGTGGCTGGTGTTGACGACGACTGGTGGGAGGGGGAGCTGGCTCAGCACGTTCTCATTTTACCATCCGTGCTTGTTCAATAACGGGTTTAGGAATAGCCCTTATAGAATTACGATATGAACGTCATCCAGACATCTCGGTGATAATTATGGAGTTGTATTTTCATATATAATTTAAAACTTTCGGTATAGCTTCTGATCATAAATTTACATTTATAATAAAACAGGGTGTTGTCCCAGACATTATATACTGTGTTTGTAAAATCGCAGCACATAGGTGCCAATTAGATCCCTAAAGTTTAACACAGATCCCTAAAGTTTAACACAGTGCCGAGTCAATTTATTCGAGCATCAGTAGCTCAGTGCACAGGTCATCCATTTTCAGAAGGCGCCAACAGCGGCTAGAATTGGAGGTAGGAGTTCTTACACCGGGCGTGAGAATACCGTAGCTATACTGAGAGTTCTCCTAACGGATGCCATTCCTCCCTTTCTCAGACTCCACCAGCGGCTGTTCCATTTCCATTGCATACTTCCTGACCACACTGCACATAAATGGACATGTTTCTCGAGATTCCTCCATCCAGCCATGGCGCCGGCCTGGAGTTGTGATGTCACTTATGTCGAACTGGCGTGACGCTAGCAGACCTAAAAATATTTCCAATCTCGGTACTTGTTTGAGCACTTGCGCTTGCCTCTGCTAGCATCCTGCCAGGTCAATTCGAACCTGCTCTTTTTGCCAAGAAGGAAGCTTCGTCATTTTCCGATATCCTATCTTCAAATCATGCAGTCGTTTTGGAGAGCTCGTAAGATCGACGAGGTGACGTCAGATGACGATAAGATCGCTCCCGTGTATCGGCTGGACGAGATATGCTCGGACGTGCAGTCGAGCCCATCGGAGGTGGTGAAGGAGGTGGTTGACTACATCATGCAGCGCCTCAACCACTCTTCGCCCTTCGTCAAGCAAAAGGTGCGGGAAGAATCAACGGTGGTAACCGTAGAGTAGACTTCCAGCCGATGATAGGGTAATCATGCGGGCCATCGGAGGTGGTGAAGGAGGTGGTTGATTACATCACGCAGCGCCTCAACCACTCCTCGCCCTTAGTCAAACAAAAGGTGCGCGAAGGCTCAACCGTACGGTAGCCATAGAGTAACCATCCAGCCGACTGTAATCCGGTAGGGCATCGGAGGTGGTGAAGGAGGTGGTTGATTACTTCACGCAGCGCCTCAATCACTCCTTGCCCTTCGTCAAGCAAAAGGTGCGCGAAGAATCGAAGGCAGGTAACCATAGAGTAAGCCTACAGCCGACCATAGAGTAACTTTGCAATTTATCGCAGGTGGTGAACGAAGTGAATGACCACGACATGCAGCGGCTCAACCACTCTTAGCCCTTCATCGAGCAAAAGGTGGGAGAAAGGTGAGGAATTGAGTCATTCTTGTCACGGGAAAGTTGAGGGATTGACTCATTACTGCCGACTAATTTCGACCTAGTCTTGGCCTCGATTGCGGTAACGCCGTGGGCGAGCTTTGCCTGTTTGTGTGTCAGACATGGTTGCTTGCGTTTCAGGCATCTAGATAGATTTTCGGGGCGGCAGTCAACCGGCCCGACTGTTTCTCTTCTCTGTCGTTTGTGACTGGGTTTCCTCCTCCTTTTGCCGCTATTCGTGGTGACTGCTGTACGTTAGTATTTCCCCTGTTGCCTCGTGTTAGCCGCCACCCGACGTCCAGCTCTTCTCTTCCCCTCCCACTTCCTCCTTCTCACCCTCTTACCATAACCTCACCTCCCCAGGCGCTGCGGCTGATTAAGTACACGGTCTCGCGGGCAGGCACGGAGTTTCGGCGCAGCATACAGCGCCACTCCGCCACCATCAAGGGCATGGTCCACTATCGCGGACAGCCCGATCCGTTAAGAGGCGACGCGCCCAACAAGGCGGTCCGGGAGGCGGCGCAGGAGGCGGTGCAGGCGATCTTCAACCCGCAGAACGATATCAAGCCAGGCGCAGGCGCCACGGGCGTCAGTGGCGGCGGCGGCAGTGCCTCTACCGGAGGCGGCTATAACGGGTATGGGCCCAGTGGCGGGATGGAAGGCGGGCGGCGTCGCATGGAGGGATTCGGAAGCACCCCGGCGAGGGGAGACGGGGGTGCTGGGGGCGGCGGAGGGGGGAGGGGCGGCGGAGGAGGAGGGGGAGCAGGGGGGATCGGCGCAGTGTTGGGTGTGAGTAGCGAGTCGATTCGGCAGGGGATTAGCAAGCTGGCGGGCGCGGTGGGGCAGGGAGCAGGAGGCGCGCGGGGGAAGGCGGGCGGGGGGGAGTTTGAAGAAGCAGCAGGCGGGGGGAGCTACGTTGGGCCGCGGTTGGACTCGGTTGGGGGCGGTGGGGATGCGTACGGGTATGGAGGCAGCAGCGGGTATGGGGGCAGCGGGTACCGACAAGGAAGTGGGTACGGACAAGGAGGCGGGTCGTCTGGTGCGTCCAAGTACGTGGGGTTTGACCGGCAGGGACGCACGTTCGACGCGTCTACCAACTCATACACGCCTGCTGCGGCGCCTGCGGCTTACTCTGGCGCGGGGAGGGACAGAGAGTATGGGTCCGATCGAGGGTACAGAGCAGGGGGGGGCTATGGTGGTGGGGGAGGGGGAGGGGGAGGAGGAGGGCCGTATGGTAGTGGAGGGGGTGCATATGGCGGTGGGGGCGGGGGGGGATATGGAGGGGGGGGTGCGGAAGAGGACAGAGCGGGGGGAGGGTGGGGCGACGGGGGGCAGCAAGGGGAGGGACGCACTGAGGCGAGTGCTTGGGGAGGGGCGTCTGGGTCTGGGGACGGGATGAGCGGAGGAGCAGGCGGAGGGGCGGGGGGGGGCGGGGCGAGCAGTGAGGAGGAGAGACTGGTGGAGGGCATGACTGGGGCGGGCGGGGTGCGACTGCAGCCGACACGCGAGGCGCTGAGGGGCTTCATTGCCAGCCTGCCTAAGCTGAACGCGGGCGCCGTGGCTCAGGCGCTGGAGGCTCGTCTTCTCAGCAACCTGTGGCAGGTGAGCTGCTGGTGGTCGTGGATACGGTGAGTGGGAAATTGTGGCAGGTGAGCTGCTAGTGGCGGACTCTGTGGGCACGTGATAGAAGTA